GACATTACTTTCTAGCCACGTGTTTGATTTTACAAAACCATGTTTAGGGTCTGTTTTATTGGGATTTAAAGGTGTTTCTACTCCTGGTGTACAGTTTGAATCTACAAATAAAATAAACATTAATAATGTAAATGTGATTAGAGTAAAATGTAATATTGCAAACGGGTCCTATTTAAATGGAAACAAATCACACACCATACATAGCTTTTATCCAGAAGCTCCTCCTGGCTACAAAATTATTGAAGTTCCAAGAAATATTATATATTTTCCTGTAAATAAGAGAAGTTTAGATGTTGTCAGTATTACATTTGCCGATCAGCATGACAAGGCAATTGACTTTAATGGAGAAGAAACTACAATTACTTGCCATATAAAAAAGATATGAGAATTTATAAGAATTTATCTATAAGTATACAAAATGCTAGGTTCCTACGATCAATAGGACTAAAGTTAAAATTTTCTATTAATAAAAATGGAAGATTTTCTAGACGTTACAGGGAAATCCCAATTCGACGATAGTGTGGTTAAAATTACAAATCACTCCTATGTTCCCCATAACACTTTAGCAATAAATAATTCTGATGAAATTCGAATATGTATTAATAATCAAGATTTGCTAACTCTCCCATGTAGGAGTTATCTGTATATTAAGGGAGAAATTGAAAATCATGATAAAGGTCATTTTATAAATAATGCATTTGCATTCTTATTTGATGAAATTAGATATGAAGTCGCAGGTAAAGAAATAGACATTGTAAGAAACCCAGGAATTTCTAGTCTTATGAAAATATTGAGCTCTTACAATAAAACAACTAAATTGTCAAATGTGGCATTTGATTCTGACACGAATTTAAAAGAGTTCCATAAAAGTGGCAAGTTTAGTACTTGTTTGCCATTAGAACTGTTAATGGGTGTATTTGAGGATTTTAATAAGGTATTAGTAAATGTCAAACAAGAATTGGTGTTGAAAAGATCCAAAAATGATTTGAATTGTATATTAACAACCACTAGTGCTCCAGCCAGTGGTACTGCTGATGCAATTCCCAAAATTATACTTAACTCAATTCAATGGGTGATGCCACATGTAATACCATCAGATGGGGAGAAGTTACAATTACAAAAGATGTTATTGCAAAATAAAAATTTGCAAATTGCATTTAGAAGCTTAGAGTTGCATGAACTTCCATCATATCCCAATACTACAAGACATACATGGTCAGTAAAGACATCTTCAAGTTTGGAGAAGCCTAGGTATATTATATTTGGTTTCCAAACAGCTAGGGATAATAGTGCACGAAAAAGAACTGATGAATTTGATCACTGTAAGTTAAAAAATCTCAAAGTATTTCTAAACTCTGAATATTATCCTTATAGTGATTTAAATCTCGACTTTGAAAATGGAGATGTCTCTAAAGCTTATGAGATGTTTATGAGGTTTAGAGAGACTTACTATAATACTATCCCAGATCCTATGATTAGTAGGGCTGAGTTCATGAAGAAATATCCACTAATTGTAATAGACTGTTCTAGACAGAACGAAACAGTGAAGGAAGGAATTGTTGATATTAAATTAGAGATTGAAACTGCAGAAAATGTACCAGCAAATACATCTGCATATTGTTTAATAATACATGATAAAGTGTTTGAGTACAATCCTTTGTCAAATGAGATAAATAAAATGTAAATAAAAGATGAAAAACATTCAACAAGAATTGGTTGACTCTGCAAATCAAATACGAGAGAAATATAGAGCTTTAAAACGTGGCAAGTTTCTAGAGGCTGAAGAGAGGTTTCAAACATTCCAACCTTTAATAGAGCCATTACAAGAATTAAAAAAAATCGCCAAAACAGAGAGGCCTCGAATGGAGATTCTCCCAATGACTCCATCTAGAATACCAATAATACCAAGATTACAACCATTACAGCAATCCACCCCACAGAAATTAGATTTTGGTCTTTTAGCATCAGACTATTTAGGAAATTACCTCAGTAAAAGTAGTATGACAGACACTACATATGGTATTAGACGAGAAGCAAATAAATTTTTTATTGGAAATAAGGAAGTTGACATTGCCAATGATGATGTTACAATTGCAAATAAAACCTACAAGGGGACAAAAGGTTTGTGGCAATTGTTAACTTTAAAAGAACCTGAGGATTATACTCCGGCTGATTTGCAAAATTATAAAGAAATTTTGGAAGCTACAAATGGACATTTAAAGAGTTACAAAGATGGTGCACCAATTTCAAGTAATAGACATACTAAATATCTTAATATAATTAAACCTCTATTTAAGTCTGTTGGTGAAGGTTTGAGACAAGTGACTGGTAATAAAATAGACTATATTTATTGGGATGATCCTAATGAGCTTGTAGATAGGTTAAGACTTCTTTGGCTAAGTCGCCAAGCCGGTAACTCAGGAGTGGATAATGAAATAGATTCCATTATTGAGGAATTGAGAGAAAGTGGAATTATTTACTAAATAAAAATATGTTTATAGATAAATTTTATCGTTTATATAATCCATATAATAAGCCTGCAGAACCCAGGGCTAGTAGTGAACCTACTTTAAATTTACAAGACGATAGTTGGAATGGTTTAAACCGTAAAATTGGTAACGTTAAAGATGGGGAGTTTGTAGATGATGTATCAACTTTGGGACAGACATTAACTAGAAAAGGTGATGTCTTCTTACAAGGTAGAACTAAATATGAGTTTTTAGAATCTAAGAATAAAAATTGGAATGCTAAAAAACAGAAAATTACTAATGTGGAAAAGGGTGAAAGTTTAGATGATGTGCCCACTTTACAACAGACTTTAATACGAACAGATGGTGGTACATTTGTACAAGACAATAATAATTATGAATTTTTAGAATCAGAGAATGGTATTTGGAATGCTAAGAAACAGAAAATTACTAATGTAGAAAAGGGTGAAAGTTTAGATGATGTGCCCACTTTACAACAGACTTTAATACGAAAAGAAGATGGTAAATTTGTACAAGACGATAATAATTATGAATTTTTAGAATCAGAGAATGGTGTTTGGAATGCAAAGAAACAGAAAATTAGTAATTTGATGGAAGGTACAGATAGTAAAGATGCTGTGAATGTTTCACAAGTTCCAAAAATGGAAGCAGGCTATTGGAGTTTTAATAGTAAAAGGTTAGTACGTGTTAAACCTGCCATTGATGACACTGACTGTGTTATAAAAGAACAGACTATAACTTTTGATAAAAAAGAAAAATGTTGGGATGCCAAAAAACAATTTATAAGAAATCTACCAGAGGGGGAACATTTGGATGATATTTGTCTAATGTCACAATCTATGCATTACGATGGATCAAAATTTGTATATGGAGAAAAAATTTTTAATTTGATGGAATATAATCCTGATTTATTAGTTGCTGACCCCACATCTTTGAGTGGATTTAAGTATATAGATAATAGACCATATATACCAGAAAACTATGTATTTAAAAGAATGGAAGATAATCTATTGATTGGGGCTAATGGTGATGTATTTAGAGTTACAGGAAAGGATGATGTTATAAAAAATGAATGAAATAGCATACGAGCTTCATAAGCCTGCAAGAAAGAATTTCATTAGAAGGTCTTTTAAAGTATTGGGTATAAACGAAACCATACAAATAGATTTAGTTGATATGCAAAACTATGCTAGAGAAAATTCTGGCAATAAATATATTTTAACTTTAATAGATACATTTTCTAAAAAAGCTTATGCTGCTCCACTAAAGAATAAGACAGGGTTAGTGGTTACAGAAGCCATTAAAACCATTCTACCAAAGGGGGTTAAAAACATTCAATCTGACAATGGAAAAGAATTTTTTAATCAATATTTTAGCAAACTAATGAAAAAATTAAATATTAATCACTATCACACATTTTCTACAACTAAGGCTGCAATTGTGGAGAGGTTTCAGAGAACTTTAAAGAATTGGTTATATAGAGAATTTAGTGCTCAGGGAAGTTATAAATGGTTGGATTTACTTCCAAAGTTAATTCGAAAATATAATAATAAAGTACATAGATCTATAGGAATGAAGCCTAACCAAGTGAATGTTAAAAACAGTAAATATGTGCATGAGAGGTTAACTTCTAAAGTAGTGCAAGTTAAAAAGCCAAGATACAAGGTAGGTGATAGCGTAAGGATTTCCAAGTATAAACATGTTTTTAGTAAAGGTTATACTCCAAATTGGACAGGGGAACTATTTACAATAGCAGAAGTTAAGAATACAAAGCCTGTGACTTATATCTTGAAAGATGAAAATGGCAATATAATCAGGGGAGGCTTCTATACAGAGGAGTTGTTAAAGACCAAGTATAAGGACATGTATTTGGTAGAGAAGGTAATTAGGAGAAAGGGTGATTCGTTGTATGTCAAATGGCTTGGGTTCCCAAGTAGCCAGAACTCATGGATTTCCACTAAGGATGTCCAAGGGAGCACATCATGAGCCGGGAGCATGCCCGAGTTCACGCACAAACCTCACATGATTTTGAAAATATACATGGGAATGGATGTGGATTTGAAATTTTAATGGAGTTTGAACATTTATATAGGCTTGTATTGGACGAGATCCAGGTGGCCAAAAAAAGCTCACCATTTCCAGACGTGATTTTTAGTATTAACAAAAGTAGAAAATTTATATAGGGGTGTATAGGTCGAGAGCTGGGTCTTTAAAAAAAGTGGCCAAAAAAAGCTCTTCCATTTTTTTCTCATTTTTCCCCTATAAAAAGTGCCCTAAAAGTGCCTCTAAAACGCCGAAAGTGGGGTCATATTCTGGTATTATATCTACTGCAATTGTTTGAGATAATTGTTATTGTGGTATTGTAAATTATCTCTAACTATCTTACTTGTAGGAATTGGTTTTAGATTAAACTAAAGTTGAGAATAGCATATTAATGTTTTATTTTTGTTTATTGTGAGTTTTCAAGATTGTTTGTATTTGATTAACAATAATAACTGTTTTTGGTTACAGCGGAATGTTATTAACCCAGATTCTGCTGTCTATAGTATATATCACAGTTGACACAACACGTGCCGCCAGACCTAACATAGTCTTTATAATTGCTGATGATTTGGTAAGTGAGGTCAATTATGAACACACTTTAGTTTAAAGTTTGGTTTCAGATTAAAACTGTTAAAATTAAAATTAACAATCATTCCTCTGAGTTACACTATTTGAAGAAATCTGGCTTAATGTTGAATTGTGTGATGAGGTTTAAAACTGATTTCTTTTGACAAATAACTAAAAAGATTTCTATACAATTTAATGATTCAAAAGTAAGATGCTAAAAACGATATAGGCTATACTTTTTGCTAACCATTTTTAACTTGTGCAATTCATCCATCATTAATGACACAATCTTGCCGGAGAATTATATATTTCTAAAAACGCTTGCCAAATGTTTTATGATTAAAAAAGACTTTTTAGTTTCTATAGACATGTAACATACAATTATATTGTATCAGCAATTTACTTACTACTTGTAGCAACTATTTTACTTACTATCTTGCAGAGTAGCAACTATTGTTTTAGGTTTAGTGGTTTCAAACTAATATATAAAATTACCATATGTCCGGTATTGACGTAATCTATGGCCAGACCAAATCCAGCGCCATTTTTGTTGCATGGGTTATTTTTAAAACATAATTCCTTAAAATTGTTTTAATTACTTCCATTTGCTAGAAAATGTGCTTCAACATTTTTCGATTCTGATTTCGGTAATAAAATGTTGACTCTGATTCTAAATTCTGAGCAATACCCAATACTGGACCAAATTATACAATGAATCAAAACAGTTTAAAATAAAACCAGCAAGAGTTAATTAAATAATATACACAACCCTTTAAGAACATAGATAAAGGTTTACTTATCAAAATCTTCAGAACCTCTTTATTATTATTTTCTAGCAGAATAATTTAAATAGTTTTGGGATTTCTTGGGACAGGAATCCCTCAATATTATATATAGGGGATGTGGAAGACGTTTGCGAAGATTGCAGGATCGAAAATTCACAACGGTGCTGATAATTAGACAGGAAATGAACATGATGTAATCATACGTAGGATAATGTAAACATTTTGTAAGAGTGTATGTATGACTATGATGATTCCTTAATACCATCATAATCAAAGGTTTTGCCCAGTTATAATCGGCCAGTCCCTATAACTTGTATGTTTTTAATTCCGTTAATTAAATCACAAGTATGCAACATCCCTCTTTTGCAGGCAGTTTTGAATGAGAATGAGAATGATATTTGGTCTTTTAAACATGCAGTTACATGCAATCAGACAAGTCATATAATAATCATCTGGCAACAATCAGTTAGGCTAACAGTCCCAGTTAGTAAACTGGGTTGACTTAGCTTAAATCACACCATGCACAAAAACAGGCAAATATAATAAATAAATAAATAGTTAAATAATGGCAACTACAATAGTGAATAAATAATGCACAAACTACTCTTATCTACATACTTTCAAAAAAAAACACACCATGCAATGTGTAAACCAATTAGGTAAGATCAGTATTTTAATGTTAAGGTAAGACTCTCTTAATTTCCTCTTGACAACCTATTGTCGCAGGGCTGGAACGATGTTGGTTTCCACGGCTCAGACCAGATCCCCACCCCCAACATTGACGCCTTAGCCTACACTGGGGTTCCGCTGCAGAACTACTATGTGAGTCCTATCTGCACACCTTCCCGTAGCGCTCTCATGACTGGCAAATACCCCATACATACAGGTCTTGAATCTCATATAATATATTGTAGTTAAATGCAGATAAACTTGTGTTTTATATTTTGTGAGTAGTGTGAAATCTTAACTTGCACCGTGGTCCCATAAGCTTGTTTTATCTATACCACTTCTCTGTGGCATAGTTTACAACATCGTAAAAGTGTTAATTTTTCTTAGTGGATTTCGGTATTCTTTTCTCCTGATCCATCTCCCATTGCTGCCAAACATTGAACACGTATTAGTATTTTAACTGTTTTTACAGCAAAATTTTAAAGTGTGTTTCAAGAAATTTCTACGTAGATTTTTTTTATAACACAGTATAAACAAATCTCCTGTTTTGAAATTGACATGACCTAGATTTTTGCCAGCAGCAATGAGCAAAACAACAAATAAACTTTATCCATGTTCATCTATGCAATAATAAGCTTTTATCAGTGAAAAGTAAAATTTTCACAAAATCCTCCAGTTCAATTTTGACCTGGAACGAGTTTAATTGCATGCTCTCACTGCCTTTACGCTAGGATGCTCCCTTGTTATTTTAGGTATTATTGAAGACATATTCCACCACAATCAGTGAATAAAACAAGTTTCCATAACCTCATGGGATCTGTAATCTGACAATGTTCTCCAGGTGAGAAAGTACACAAGACATAACATATTGTTCACAAACAAACCTAGCTAATACAAAAGAAAAACCACAAAAGAAAAGACATTTATTGTTTAGTAATCAAAACAAGAATCAGAAATTCCTGAAACAAAACAACGACTAGTACAAATAGAGAGTAGGCACCTACAATGGACTCATCTGCACAAGATGGTGGCGCAAAACTAAACAACGTGGACTTATTGCAAAAATTGTACTTTCCATTTTAAAATTTCACATTTTTGTATGGACCTTTTGTTGTAGGGATGCAGCACACAGTGTTGTTTGGTGCTGAGCCGCGTGGGTTGCCGCTGAGTGAGCGTCTGCTGCCTCAGTACCTGCGAGACCTCGGCTACACCACCAGGATTGTAGGCAAGTGGCACCTCGGCTCATACAAGCGGGAGTACACTCCGACCCACCGAGGGTTTGACTCACACCTGGGCTACTGGACAGGCCATCAGGACTACTTCGACCATACTGCTTGTGAAAAGGTTTGTTGTATTGAGGGTTTTGTGCCCTACATCCTACATCATGAGCATTTTTACGTTTTTGTCAGGGAAAAGTCTAAGCCCTGGTCTTGTTACTATTTAATGAAGACCATTTATTAGATACTATATAGTTTCAGAATTTAATTCTTTAACACACCCAATCCCGGGTGTCTGGAGACTCTCCATACAGAGGAGTGTGCCGGCTGGGACTGAACCTGTTAAGACACACACTTAAGTGTGATTTTAAAGTTGAATGTGTACAAAGAGTAAGTGTAGAATGGAGTGAGTTGATCTATGTAGCTTTGTTACTGGCTGTGATCAGCTTTTTCTTAGCCAGGACCATTAATTCAACTCGTTTTCCATCCACAATGATCAAGGACAGCTGGGTTTAGTTTTGAACCATCAACAAGCTACTGACTTTTCTCTGGATCCAACCCGCAATCAATCGTTAATTAGCATCTGAATTCAAAATCTAGAATCGAACCAGCTACTACTGTTTGAAGGCAAGCACTTAAACCATTCCCTTTGCTTTGCTTTTTACATTGCTTATGGAGGTCCAAAAGGTCTCTGTGGACGAGCAAATGCAAGGTATAAGAGGTCACCATCCCAATGAGTTAAAAAAATTGTCTTTGAACTGTAAACGGGGTCAATATTTAACAATATGTTGCTTGATGCAGGGGATGTGGGGACTGGACATGCGCAACAACATGGATGCTGCTTGGGACCTCCACGGGCAGTACTCCACGGATATCTACACCAAGGAGTCTGTGAGACTGATCCGTAGTCACAACACTTCGAAACCGTTGTTCCTTTATCTGGCGCACACTGCTGTACACTCCGGCAACCCTTATAATCCTCTACCCGCCCCAGACAATGATGTGGCAGCTTTCAGCCACATCGAAAACTTCAACCGACGCAAGTTTGCTGGTAACAATATTTAACTTTGTGTGATGTACCTTATTTCTTGAAAATTGTTGAAAGAACTGTAAGCAGATTGCTAGTAAATTTTATTTGGGTATCTATTTATCTTCAGTAGTAGAATGCCTACCAAAGATTAAACACATATTTACAGTAGCTTTATTTTATTATCTCAATAGATCATTTCAGCTGAAAACTATATTAAGGCATGTTTCTGTCCCTAATATGTAGAGTGTGTTTTGATGTTTACTTGTTATAGTATTTCATCATCTTTTCAATTTATATATATATATACACTTGGTGAGTGTAGAATCAATTGTATAAAAAAGCTTTGTTACTGATTACGATCAGCTGTTTTTTTAACCAACAAAATTTATTAAAACTCCGCAATGATCCAGGATGAGATTGTAATAGGATGAGACGTCTTCCTGTGATATTAAAGGTCTATAATAGTATTATGTAGTCCTCTTTTATAAAGTTCAAAAGCCACTGTAACGGCCTGGCCGTTCATACTCCTAAAAATTAAATTCTGACCGACTGCTCAGGAGATATGATAATCAAATAAGGAATTGGCAGGGCAGGAGTAACTGCCAAATTTGCATAAATGGCCTGGTTTGGTGTTAACATCGACTATCACACCTTTATCAATACAGTAGTATCAATAATTAATCAATATGATCATCGTCCAAACCAGTGGTCAGAAACTCAGGAAATATTTATTGGAGTAATTATTTGAAGGTAATTTAGTCTCCATATGAATATCCCAGCATTTCCAAACTATCTCCAACCTCGTTTAAATTATAATAATATTCTAATAGTTAAAGTTATGAAGCTGGAATATGTTCATTGCCGGTGTTGACTCGGGCTTTCAGCTGACGGAGCTAGCCTCCGTTAGGGAGTGTATTTGGCGGGCAAAAAGGTCGAGCCTTGCGCAGGTTGCCGCTCAGTGAACGCTGATTGTTCAAAGTGGCGAAAGTTTTCGGCTAACGAGGTCTACGGGTCTCACCAAAATAAGTGTAATCCGTAATATTTATGTCAAGATAAGTTTATTGTATTGTTGCAGAGTTAAATCAGTAATTATTATGCCCCACAGCCATGATGAACAAGCTTGATGACTCAGTTGGGGAAGTAGTGGCTGCCCTAAAGGACACAGGCATGCTGGAGAATACCATCATAGTGTTCACCACAGACAACGGGGGTCCGGCCGCGGGTTTCAACCTGAACGCTGCTTCCAACTGGCCGCTGCGAGGGGTAAGATAAGACACAATTTGTGTTTGTTTATTTAGATGAGTATGAATTCAAATAAGTTAAACTGGATTGAGATGACCTGTCGTTTTGTTCCACACTGATATCAGTGAAGTTAGTTTTTTAGCCAATTAAGGACATCTGTCCAGTTGGGAACCATCAAAAAGCTACTGCGTCATGGATCATATATACATAATAAGTCTTTGGTTCCAGGATGTTAATTAAATGATAAATGATAAATGATAAATGATTTTATTAGCCATTCAGTACAATAAATACAATAGGCATTGTCAAAAATACAGCCAAAGTGACAGTACAGAAAGCTGCAAATATAAGAACTAAAGACTACAAAAATAAATCAGCAAAACCATGCAGGTGCACAAGCAAGCAAATAAATAGTATACCTTCCAGATTCCTATTCTAAGGTACAATAAATGGGCCATGCTTCATAGCAACATAAAAATCTTCTATTTGATATAAAGGGTTTGCCAATAGCCACTTCTTCAGAATAGTTTTAAATTTGGAATTTGGAAGAGATTTCACTTGATCTGGCAGCGAATTGAAGAGATTGATACCTGTAACAGGGAAGCATTGTTGTGTTTTACTTAGTCTATTATAACTTAAGTGAATATTGTTACAGAATCTGGTCTTGTACTGGTGTACATCTGAATTTCGAGCAAGTGTGTTTTCTGATTCTTTAATGGCCATGAGACACTGAAAAATATAAACATTGATTACAGTCATGATCTGCAACTCACAAAACAAAGGTTTACAATGAGCCTAATACTCAGTCCTACAGATTACCCTGACTGCTTTCTTCTAACCATAAAACAATCATGGAAATATTTTAAATGGGATACCGTTGTGGTTTTATGGTTAGTTCAGAGCTACAGTTCAAAACATATCTTTATAGTAAATTTACATTAACACTAGTGTCATTTTTAAAAGCCGAGTAATTGAGAACAGCTGTGTATAGCTCCAAACTTTTGTCAATAGTACCAGGAGACCGAGCTTTGCTCGTAAACTTTAAATTTAATAGATATGCTATTTAGATGACGGATATTTATCAAGAATATTTATTTTGTACGGTAATCAATGTGAAACATTTTTAGATGATACAAATAACACATTTTCATACACCTTTATAAATTCATAGATTGCAATAAAAATTACCTGTATCAGCTGTTTTCATTAACTGCAGCTACAAAAAGGTATTGACAATAACATGGGCTTTTTCAAGGGCTGTGAGGCGGAAACTGGATTTTTTCCAGCCTTGTGATCGACTTCAATTGATTTCTCGCAAATACCCCTTATTAAACAAAAATATTAAAAATCCTTGGACGAGAAAAAAAGTTTGACCGTACACGGTTGTTTTACACTATAGGATAAGATTGAACCAGCTACCATTCAAAACGAGCCCTGAAACCACTTGGTTACCACACTTGTACTGTGCTCCAGGTTAAGAACACTCTATGGGAGGGAGGTGTGCGAGGAGCCGGACTGGTGTGGAGCTCTCTGCTACCCAATGGGTGGATATCTTCTGACCTGACACACATCTCTGATTGGCTACCGACCCTCGTATCAGCTGCTGAGGGAGACACCAGGTATACCATGTCCACAACTAATATTGGAGGAATTTTTTTGATGCAATTTGAAGACAATTTGAATAGGAGCCTTTGAATAATTTAAGAAGGAATGTTTAAATGGGTATGAAAAATAGCCTAATATGGTAATTTAATGGATGTCAATAAACACCGTACTGTTATGTTTAGTACAATTTTTAATTTCCCACACTTTCAGTTAAGTTTCAATAAGATAGATTTATTTAGATTCCAGCATTCAGTAACAAGTGAAATATCAATTTTAGCAATCAGGCTATTTACAAACTATACTTATAGCTATGATCAATTTAAAATCATAGCATGGGTCCAAGGATAGAGCCCCAAAAGACTTTTGAAGTTTGGTTACAGAGTCGATTTAGAGTGTGATTTATCACTAGTCAATATTCTCTTTCTCCCATGCCATTCCAAAATGGACCTCATGTTAAAGTTTCCCAGTAAATCAAAATTCTCAAATTGGACATAAATGAATATAAACAAATATGTCTCAGCACACCAAACATGTTTGTTAAAATCTATATAAATAAAATTAGAGTTTTGTCTGTACATTGCTTAGAATAATGAACTTTTTGGTTATTTTTACATTTCATAGGTCAGAGAAACCGAATCAAACCTTATCTCAATTTCTGTCTGTCTGTCTGTCTGTCTGTCTGTCTGTCTATCTGTCATTCTCTTGGTAACGCTAAAATACGCACTTTATTACAACTACTCCTCAATAACTATAGCACTGTCCCGCCTGAAACTTATTTTCCAAATACTATACATATATGAGATGGTTTTAGACGTATTTCATCGAATATGAGACAGTTAGATATTTAACAGTAAACCCTTGAAAATCAAGTTTTTGTCGATTTTTGACGTGGAATTTCTGGAAGCCCATGTTAACCTTATGAGAAATGAAATTATTGAATCTTAACAGCTGTTTCAATTAAACAAGTTGGTTCTGTTCTGTGATGTTCAATAGCATTAAAGTTACAAGGATTACCAACAGGGTGCAGCACTAGCACTATTATTTCTTTTACATTTATGACAACAGCTAATTTGCAACCTGGAGGCGAGTGAGCGTAGCGAACGAGCTAACCTGAAGGCAAGTGAGCGTAGCGAACGAGCTAACCTGAAGGAAAGTGAGCGCAGCGAACGAGCTCCAACATACAGGTGAGTGAGCGTAGCGAACGAACTTCAACCAGGACGTGATTGAGCCATGCAAACGAGATCAGATAGTAAAAATAAAAGTAAGCCTACCGTTATAGGATCGACCGGCAGACACAGAGGTAATTTAACCTTTTATTGATTGTCATACCGATCCGGAACAACAAAAAACAACATAAAATGAAGCTATGTATAATAGTTTGGCCAGCATATCTTAAAATATGCAAACCAACTGCTGTTCGTTATATAAGAAGGTTTCAACTGAATATTATAAGATCCCCGTGCGTAGAACGGGTACACAGCTAGTTCATAAATAAATGTCATTGTTGTCAAAGTTCAATATTAAAATCAATGTTAACTTTTAGGTGGTTCTTGACGATGAAAAGTTATAACATATAGAATATAGATCATATCTTTGTACTAACCAGGCTGTAAAAGTTAATTTTCTCATTGCAGCGTTTTTAAAAACATTGATGGTATAAATCAATGGCCGAGTATGTCCCGAGGAGTTCCAACCACTAGAACTGAGGTTCTTCACAACATTGATGACATTTACGGGAGTTCTTCTCTGACAGTTGGGGATTGGAAAATCGTCAAAGGTATATATGTTACCATTACTGTTTCTTGTTATCCTTATACCCCATACTACGTAATATACAGGGTGTCAAAAAAGGTGGGGACATAATTTACATAGTGATTTCTTGGGTCAAAATAAAGAGAAAATCAAGAATAACATTATTACCAAAATCGCTTTGTTAACTAGATACTGTATCTGCAATTTTGTATTTTTTACAAAAAATTTTTTATTTTTGAATTTTTTCGATCGATCTTTATGAAACTTGGTATGTGTTAAGGTATAAGAGACCCATGTTAGAAAAACAATTAAAAAAAAAAAAAAAAAAAAAACCCAAGTCCACTTACTTAAGGGGGCTCACCATTTATTAAAGCAGCCATGAAAATAGAGCTAGATACTAACTAAATACTATACTTTTTACTTATTTTGTCTTAAACTCACAATCACTTTAAGCTATATGAACTAACTTTAAGCTACTTCCCACAGGGCGTTCTCGATAAAAAAATCTTTACAGGAGTATATTTATCATATGAAAAATTTTAAATTTACCTAATAAATAAACCGCTTAAGCATTTTAACTTTTAATCCATTAGTTGGAGTAGTCTTATAAACAAATGAAAATTGATAAATTAAATTTCAAATGTCACTTGGTTGCAGGTACCAACTACCAAGGACAGTGGGATGGTTGGTATGGACCGAGTGGTCGACCTGACAACCATTCTACACCCTACGACATCACGGCAGTCGTAAACAGTCTAGCTGGACGTGCAGTCGCCTCCGTTGGCCGAGAAATTCATCCAGATAAGGTGGGGAATTCAATTGATTCTAAATTGTCACAGCGTCTTCTTAAAACTTATGAACGGTTTTTCTCTGGTAAAATGTTAGAGTAGCTTGATTTGCAAGAGTTAAAATAATTTAGTACAATAGTATTAACATGACTGTCACTGTGTGAAACTGTTGACTGATTTTCAACACAATGTATTGTTATAAACTTTATACTGTTCATTCGTAATTTTCTACGCCATTGGCACTTTAAATGGGCTTTCTTGCAAGGGAATGGTCTAATCTTGCATTATTATCTAACGCAACTGTTATTTGTTAAATTGCATCATTAATTTATAGCTCAATGAGAATGGGTCCTGAATCTCTCCCAAACAGGATCGAACCAACAACCTTCAAATTTAATGGCAGTTAGCTAGTGGTTCGAGACATGCGAGAAAAAAAGAGTACTTATTTATTAACATTTTATCTTCTTTTGACACCTGTTTTAGGCTTTGAAACTTCGAAAGAAGATGGAAGTAAAATGTACTGGAGAGAGATCCGAGTGTTTACCCCTGAAAAACCCTTGTTTGTTCAACATCAAGGCTGACCCTTGCGAAGAAAATAACTTGGCTTCCAGGTAATAACTTGTAAATTTCAAAAACAATTTTCAAATGTTATTATGACGTTTTGATTCTAATAGTAAAAATATTGACAAAAATTGAACAATATAAGGCACAAATCTGAAACTTGTATAAGTTATGTAAGCCTTGTATGCAAGAGTAAAAAATCACAAGGCACTGAAATAAAAATTCCACCTACCTGTAACCGACTCTATAAAGGCTCAATATCCTAGCTGGCGAAAAACGGTGCCGAATTCTGTTGCAGGGTTACGTATCGTGTCATATTATCATCATATGTGTTTTCTAGAACTGCATATTTGCGCTAGTTAGTTGTCGAGATGGATTTGGTGGTAGACGCAGTGCCTGTGCTTCAGAAAAATTCCAACCTACAGTAACTACCTACTCATAGTTAAATGTTAGGTAGAAACAAAGAAACTAAACCAATGTAAGCCACAAGGTTACAAATGATTGGTATCATCTACAGTATTTACAAGGGCGTTTGTCAGTAAAATCAAGGGGTTCTTATTTTTCAATAGATACATAGAATTACATATATAAATTACTGTACATCACTAATGTAATATAACAGCCAAGATGTCTTTTTCAAGGCGTGCCCATCTTTTTCTTTTGTAAACATTACAATACTTTCAGGTACCCACAAGTCCTGCGTCACCTAGATTATCTACTGGGAGTCCACAACGCAACGGCCGTCCCTCCCAGCAACCTCCCCTTGGACCACCAAGGTGACCCTAGGCTCTGGGACCACACGTGGACTAACTTTGGCGACTACGCAATCACAACCAACGACATCCTCAGATAGTTTCGCAACAGCTAGTCATATTTATTTTTTGTGTTTTAGTTTTTAAGTCAAAGTGTGATATGCAAAACCTGTTTAATGTTCTGTTAAACTGAACCATGATATATGTTCATGTCATTGAGAAAAGTACAAAATGTACAGTAGCTCAGAATAGTAAAATAGTCTGTCATAGTATTGACATTGGGACATTGTAGTACATATAACACATAACAATATTTTGATTTAAATCTTTTCTGCATTGTTTGTTATTGATTAGCAGCATAACCTCCAAATAATTGGATAACTGTTTTTAGTAGAACAGGAAATCTTATTCTCAGAAGATTGTATTACCTAGTGAGAAAATACACATGAAATTGAGCAATTGCTTGGTTTCATAATATATTTTACCGTGTGGTGAAAAATAGCATTCCTAAAGGAAAAAGGAGTTTTTTCCTAAAGGAGTTTTTGCAATACTTACTCGAGCCTGCAAAACCTCACTATCAATCTGGGCTGGATGCAAAAATACTCGAGGCTTTATTTTTCCTAAAATCTGTTAACTGATTATTAAACTAGTGATTGGATTAAACATTGTTAAGGTAAAATTTATATTAAAAAAATTGCTTGTGTTGTTGTGTATTACACTTGAGTCTCGCTAGTCTGAACACAGGTAATCTGAACGTCCGCTTAATCCAAACAAGTTTCAGAAATGTTTGAAAATAATTGGAACTAATGTAAAAAAAATATTTTATAAAATTAAATACAGATAAAAGTTGTCAAGATTTATTTCTTAATCCTAATGTGTTAAAATGCATTGTATATTAATAATGACATGAAGTTGGCTCCCACATTATTTTTTTGAGACATCACAGTTCATTTGGCTAAAAAAAAATGGAAACAGAAAAAAAAACAATCAATACCTCGAAGATGACCGCAGTGCTTGTGATAACATTGTCCACTCTTTACACATCTGTCTGCTATGCACTAAGTCATGTCAAGATGGATTTCATTAGCTCGGGGCCCGATGATGACACAACGCTTAATACTCCAAGTGTACAGCATTAAACATAAATCAAATAAAAGAAGGTTAGAAGGCATACAAGGCAAATAAAACAAACATTTGTAAAATTCCAAATATAAGGTGTAGGCTTTATTTAAACAACACTGTGATACATTTATAAGTACAAATATTGTGTTTTAAGTGTGCGGTTATGTTCAATCTAGATGGCTCCTCTGTACAGACCTACACCTATATATTGTTATTAGTTAATAGTATTTTTTTAGACCAAAAAGCTTTCTTGCGTTATTGTTTATTCCACACTTTGACAAAACAACACATAAGGTACAAAGATTCCTAATGGACTCGGACAACCGGATGTACAACATTTCAGATAGCTGCATAGCTCAACTCAACAAAATAAACATTCGGGTTTAAAGCTCTCCCTATGCGGCCGATCTAATAGTTCTATCCAAAATAATCAAATGGTACCTATACTATACAAAAATTTTCGAACATCCGTTAACAAAATAATTTATTCTATACATCGGTAAATAGTAAACAAAATTACTCAACGATTTGAAAATGGAATGTAATACTGAGAGAAACGGAATAAAAACGAGAATACACATTTATGAGGAGTGACAGTGTCGATCTACTCTAATATAGCACAGGTCTAAGATATCAAGCTAGGTGATGATATGCATAAAAATACATGTTTCTCTTACATACAAATAGGTTAGGACCTAAACAAAATAGCTCCAGCCTGCAACAACCGTACAAGTAAAAAAATATCTTACAGCAATTTCAACATTGAGAACACATTTCAAATGAAAACCGACGACAAAAATTTATTGTTATTTATTGCAAAACCGAGTGATTTCCAGTATCTAGGCAGTTCTGTGCAATAATCCGTGTAACTACTATTAGTTAAGTGTTTCCACACACTTCTAAATAACGCTAAATTAAAATTAATACGATTATTGTTTTGTTCAGTATCGCAACCCGAGTATTAATTACCCTCGAACCGTAAGCCTATCTAAGATTAAAGAAATGGCACTTACAAAAATGAGAAAATAAAAGCTTTACGACCTTAGCGTATTTTATTTTTATTCGACTTACAATTAGCTTACTGGCAAGAATTCCTTTACAATAAAGATTTCACTATCGTAGAATCAGCTGCTTAAGGTTTTTATGTAAATGCTTGTACATATAGAATCATATTCCGCCATAGTTCTACCATTCTGAATTTATAAGTAATTTACACATTTTCATACAGATAAATTCGTAACGTTAAACAAATAAAATAATATCAATAATAAGGTAATGTTCATACCTTAAATAATACTGTTTGATACTTTGTTAAAAACAATAAATGCAAATAAATAAGGATAAAGGACCTAAATATATTTCACAATATACTTAAAGGACGATATTCTCAATTTCCGGCGTCACCCTGTATTACAATAATTAAGAAAAAAAGGAAATACCTACTATTTGTATAATATGTACAGATTAAGTAGTAATTTTGTTGATCGTGTCTGTCCAGGTTTTAGTCTAAGCACCAGCCAATAACAACAAAAACCCAAGTACAACGACTGACGAGACGGGGTGTAGTAGCAACTAAGGGTTTAGATGGCGAGGGTAGAGTTGTCCCATTCTAGATCCTTTACTTTGCTCACAGCTGGACTTTCTTCTTCTTCATCGGTGGAGTCAAGGTCGTCGTCATGGTAACTCGAGTTGTCGTCAGATGATTCATCGTCGTCAGGTGCAATGTGGGACTGACCATGAGAGCCAGGCTTGCCGCCACGAGGGCTCTCTAGTTGCTGCACATACATTAAAAATGAGAACAGTGGTAGTTGGACGTTGTTTTTGAAGGGATACTTTTCAAACAAAACTAGGAAGAGACCCAAATGCACAAACTAGCTGACTCCATTGCATACGATGACTGTGCATTTTAGCTGCACAGGTACAGCCTTACAAGAAAGTAAAACACTATATTGTATACCCATTTAAAACCAATGGCTGCAGATTTTTTTTGCCTTTTCATTGTAAGGTCAATCCTTGTATACAGCCTTGATGACAGTTAATCAAGAAGCTAAGGATTAAATTATAAATTGATTTAACTCCACTTTTAGATTTGCTACACAATGGGAGGTGTGTTACTTGAGATGATTGAAAACTACTGATCCGTTGACTTAGTCTACATGAAGGAGTTAAGTTACCTCCATTGGGTTGACAGTGATTGTAAGTGCCGAGTCGTCCCAAGCCATCTCAGTGTCCTGTATCTCCTCCTGCGTGGCTCGGTGATGAGCAGCTCTGATGCGTACAACTCCCAGCACAATCATGAACAGCAGAAACCCGACACATACCACAATAATTATGGTCACAGCGTGGCCTGTCAACACATTAGGGATTGTCAAATTTAAGAGTACAGAATCTTGAAACCAAATCCATTTTTGGTACTACCTACTTAATTAATTAACTTAATTTGGGATCAATTCATAACTTATGATCAACTTAAAACCATGTTAACAGAAACTGTCATCTCTTCTGATCGCTAAAATCTGTGATCATCCATCACAGATTTAACCATTCCTTTGATAACCTCTGGGTCCACAAATTGTCGAGTTAGTGAGGTTTTACTTTATAAAGTAAACTTGGCTACATAGTTTGATGTCTACTAATATTAGGAATATTGTTTAATGTTCCAAGATATTCTAAGCAAAATTAGTGCTCAATCAGAATAATTAAGTTTCCGGATAAACCGAACAACATACTTGATGGTGCAACAACAGCCTGAGCTGAGTCGCCCAGTTTGGCGTCCAGGTAGTGGTCGACGATGGTGTGCACAGGAGACTTGACGTGTTGCTGACTCAACATCAGATGAGCTGGAACCTGCTTGTCAACTCCCACTACCAGACTGTGGGCAGCCGGTTCAGTGGACGGGGCGACAGACGCAGCCTTGGGTGTGGGCACTCTTGGGTGGATCACAGTCAGCTGCAAAGAACAGGGAGAGGTTTTTTATGTCAGTCAACAGTTAGAGAAGTTAAAGATGTTCAAAATAATGAATAATACAAAATAAAATAAACTGGAAAACTTCATAAAAATGGAGAGACTTATGATTCCCATATTCATCAAACAGGTTCTGAGAACACTTTCTTAGACTGTGTGTTAAATATCAGGAAAGAGGGTGAGGGTATACTAAATATGATATAAGCTATATTTAAAACAAGGGGATTTTGTATTTTTGTCATTGTATGAAGAGCAAACCTGCCAAATTACATCCAAACCAATAATTATTATTATAAATTATCGTTGTCCTCTAAATTAGATTATTCAACAATTTTAAATTTAAAAAATCTTAGTGCAAACAAAAGAACATGAACTATGTACATTGTTAATAGTATCTACAGAGAAAGATACTTACAGTCTGGACATACTCATTGCTGAGGAATCGTCCATTCATCTCTGAACAGATCAGTTTGAAGACCCTGTTGAGGTAGTAAGCCGGCTTGCGATTGGTGTATTGTATCTGACGCAAGACCTGAAAAGAGAAATATATTGTACCCCTGTATAGGTAGGAATTGTTAGTTAATGTTGAAATAACTCCCTTCAAACTGACAGTTTAGTAATCAACTAATTATACTTTTAGTGCCCTTAAGTCATAGAGAATTATCTTCAATGTTCACAGTTTTTTTTTATTTAAAAAAATATCTCCTTGAATTTTAAATACCGCAAGCTGGTCACTTAGTAGATTATGAAATTGTGCAAGTTCAGTAAATGAACTTCTTGAATTTCTTTCTGATTTGACTAAATAAAGTAGAAACATACACCATCACCTTTATGAGGATGAAAACTTTTTTTCCTGTAAATAACAATTCTATTTTAGCGACCCCAATGAAAAATCTGCAACTTGGAATGCCTGTAAAGTTAATCAGGGACTGTTTGGTGACTTTCAAAACCACTTAATAAATCATAGACTTTAGTGAGACTTTCTGACCAGACACATTGAGGTAACTACGACAGCAGACACTAACCTCTTCGTAGTTGTATATGATGTCGCTGCCAGACACAGTAGCTCCGTCTTTGCTGATCTTGGCTGTGATGCCGAACTGTGTCAACATGTTCTCTGGCAGAGTCAATGTTTCATGGTCAGGGTTCAATGAGGGATACACCGACACAATACAAGAGTCCAGCTTCTTCTCTATCACACTCATTGGCTCTCCTGCACAGAGGGGTTACATATTATGATTCATTGTAAGTTCTTCTTACTCCTACAGAAAACTTTCTTTGGGAAATGAAGATGGAAATGAGGACAGGAAGAATTTCACCAAGAATCGAATCCAAAACTGATTAATTAGTTCAAATAAGGATATAGTTATTTGCAGTTGATAGCTCCTGAACTGAAACAAATATGACTACCTTAGGCTTCTTATTTTGTCCCTACAGTTTCTTGCATGATTGTTCGCCAAATGTTTTGTTGAAGTTGAAGCATCAGTTTTTAAAATCGTACCACCTGATGACGCTACAGCAATAGTAAAATGTGTTGAACAATCAATTACCCTTGGAACTGTTGAGACAAGGTAAATAAATACCCCACATTAGTCATGGCAGTAATTCATTAAGAAGAGTTCAGACAGATTCAATAATACTTTTGACTAACAATCTACAATTTATTTTATTTTTTTTTTAATTTTATTATTTTTTTCAACGCCAGTGGCATTTCACGTGAGAGTTACGAGATAAATGTTTAGTGAACGAAACAACATTTTCTCTCAGAGTGGTTTAAATTCCTCACAATGTCTAACCATGACCATAGTTTTTGGAGGAAAACACTTGGGGTGAAATATCACAAGTTGGGGTGAAATATCAAGCTGATTGTATTGTGAACTCTTTGTGTACATTCAGATTCAACTGCCTTTGAAATCTTTTCTGTATCCATTCCTTCTCCCTTAAAGTTGTCCACCTCTAAGTTTCAAGGGACAGAGTCACTTGAGATGTGAGTACTCACCATGTTTCCACATCTTGCCAGTAGGCTGGACGGTGATGTGCAGGTCAGTGAACACTCGTACTCCGTTGCGGAAGTCCTGGTAGTCCCGGGCCAGGTTGCTGGTTCCGTTGATCTCTATGCTGGGCTGCTGTGGCTGTAGGACCATGATGTAGCTTTCTACTGGAGGAACCTTGATGGGACGGCCACGGTCACACCTGGAGTATCACATTGATTTAATTGACTTAACTAAAGGAGAATGTTTATCGATGACAAGAGAGTTTAAAACCACAATTAACACAAAAACTTATCAACATTACCAAAAAATGCATATTTTTTATATTTTTACGGCATTTGTTGAAATACATTTATTTTTTCATAAATACATTTATTTTTTCATAAATACATTTATTTTTTCATAAATACATTTATTTTTCAAAAATACATTTATTTTTTCATAACAAATTTATATTGGTGTTGTTATCTACAATTTCCTTGTATAAAGACTCTAGGTGTAATGGAGGAATTGGTCATTTTTCTTTTTTTATAAATAAAATATTGTTTTAGGGTAATGACGCAGCATGTCTTGATGAGGATGCTGCTGCAGGCCGAACCTACTAGAGAGGCTTTGTTGATGAGGCCAACTTTAAACTGGAGTGTAAGTAACTACTTTAGTAGGTATAACGATATGACATGGGCATTAGGGTTTAGATTTTAACTATGTTGGATAGGATAGCACGCTTACCAGGAAAGTTTCCAACTCAATTTTTCCTTTGTTGAAAATGCTATCACTGATAGTTAAATATTTTAACTATCGTATACCGTACAAGATAACTTTTTTTTTGTTTCTTGAGGATAGGCTCTTTTCCAAGATTGCTAAAAAAAGTCTTGACAGATGATTTGAGTTTTAAAAGGCTGTTTTAGTGGTCCAACTACTGTTCAAACAAAACATATGATAATCGCTGAAATACTCACATTACGGTGGTGGAGAGATGTAGGTTACGGCGACCGGGTGTCGGGAACTCTCGGGAGTTGCTGTAACCGATCTTCCTCACCAGAACCTCCAGGTTGGTCTTGTTGTCTCCCTCGATACTCAGTTCCGTCAAATCTGCAAGATCACACTCAAAAATCAAAACTGTGACTTTAACTTTTTCTTTCACGACATGAATTTCTAAAAATACGTCTATTGTGCATTTGTGACAACACAAAATTATATCATATCACTGACAAGTGAAAAATGTTGCCTTTGGATGTGTAGCGGCTCGCTACAAGACAACAGCGCAAGTCACTTGACTCAGTTAGGTGCACGTGCAGGCTCTCCGAAGCAAGCGAGCGCGGCAACTGACGGAGTAGTCGTAGTGTCGTGTGGTCGTCGGGCGGAGATTCAACATTCGGATAAGTAGTAGCTTTAAGACTATGAGTAGATAATTAGATAGGGGTTGGCGAAGGGTGTAGGCTAGGGTAAATTGAAATTAATTGTGTAATTTATTAGGTTCACCAATTGGTCGTGGTCTGGTAATCAATATTCCAAATTTAGAATTCACTTTTGCTACATCTAGTTACTTTTCACGAATCAGAATAAGTCCAGATATATAATAATTTCTCTGTTCACTACATTTTAATTAGATATATTAAGGAACGCGGCAGCGTTCCGCCCCGCCAAGTCCCCCAGCGGTACACAGCTGCTGCAGTGTATATATACATGACGTGACAAAGTGGCTTTTTTACTCGTCTATAGCTCTGAAGAAACAAAAGCTATTAAAATAATTGTTCATCCACTGGATAGGGGCAATCATTCTTGGCAAAATAAAAAAAAGAATTTAAAAAAAGGTTGTGTTTGAGCCAAGAAAAACTAGTTTGAAAATTCACAAATTTTCCGTGTTCTCCTTCTTCTCCTTAAATGTTGACGGACCTACAGCCCAAACCACTGGCTCAATTTTAATGTTTTTTATGTTGTTTGAAAGCCCTTAGCGTGTAGATGTGCCTTTTGAGGGTCACAAGTTGGTGCGTTGACCCATAAACCCTTGGCAAGCCCTCAAAGTACGATTTTGGCCCATTTAAATAACATGGGATTAAAATCAAAACAAAAGAAGGATCAGCTGCGATTAAATCTCAATTAATTTAAAATGTTAGAGAAATTCATAGGATCAGCTGAAAAATTATTTTAAAACTTTTATAAAGTATTTATTTCAGGTATACCGAATGATTTGAGCTACTTACTATATTAAATTACTTAGAGCAGTGATATTCCCCGATACTTTCCATTGAAAAATGCAGTGTACCGATGGTACACTGGTACAGCAGCTCGTCATTTTTAACAGTTTAATACTACTTATCAAAACATATGAAACCTAGGAACTTGAAACTTAGTACTAGTACTAAGGTTAGTTTTAACATTGTTTTTTCATAATATTGCCAAAATTTATTTAACTAAATAAGGTTAGTTTTATGTTTTGATACACTAAAACAAATAAAACAATCAAGAAAATCCTTCTACGTATGTTAAACAAGCAAAAAAGTGAATGTAAAAAGTGATATGTAAATTTAGGATAAAAATGAGTTTTTCAATATTTGTTTTGTCTTATGCTATTTCTAACAAACCTAATCTGTTTGATTACATTTTTACTTCTCTAATAAGGGCTCAATTTACACTAGTCTTCAGATATACGGGTTTAATTATCGGAACACTTATGTAACACCAATGCATTTTATGTGTAGTTGTGCCCTGGTCTATATATAAGAGAAAAGAGGATTTTTATTTTAACTGTTAATTTTCTACAAAAATAAATACAATCTAACAAAAAACCACTAAGTGGTAACACTTCCCCCGCCAAGTCAGCAACCCAAAAAAGACAATAAATCACCACTTTTCCGCCAAGTAAAACAATGTAATGTATGTAAGTTTGGCCACTTGGCGGCAGACTTTTGCTTGATCACTTTAAAAAATACCATAAAATTAGTTTCATTGAGCAAGTATCTCTCCCAATAGTACATTGCTAGATGAGAGCTTATCATAATAGTGATGGTTTTATATTTACTGATTACCTCGAAATTATTATACTTAGTTGGACTAATTAATTAGAGAAGTTGATTTGTGAAATTATCCACCAACGTAACTTTAATGAAAAAAAACAAGCAAAAGTCTGCCGCCAAGTGGCCAAACTTACATACATTACATTGTTTTACTTGGCGGAAAAGTGGTGATTTATTGTCTTTTTTGGGTTGCTGACTTGGCGGGGGAAGTGTTACCACTTAGTGGTTTTTTGTTAGATATTAAATAACATAAAAGCTGGCTGTGATATGCAGCTAAGGTAATATTGTGCATTTTGACGAGGTAGTTAGCTTCTTTGCAGTAGAGTTGAACAACGACAGGAAATGTGCGTGATTTTGTAGTGGTAAGAGGGAGGTATATAGGGCCCAGGTATCTTTATTTATACTCATACTACTCCATATCACCACATATGGTTTAATCAATGAATAAAATTCTTAAACCAACCATGGATTATTAAATGTTGGGTAACTACATCAGAAGGTTCATTGGCTGAGTGAGTCAAGCCAAGTAGCTCTCGAGCCTTGTCTACAATCTACCAAACCTTTCTCCTGATGTCTACTATACAGGGTGTACACGTACCACTGTTGGTAAGTAGCTCTCGAGCCTTGTCTACAATCTACCGCACCTTTCTCCTGATGTCTACTATACAGGGTGTACACGTACCACTGTTGGTAAGTAGCTCTCGAGCCTTGTCTACAATCTACCGCACCTTTCTCCTGATGTCTACTATACAGGGTGTACACGTACCACTGTTGGTAAGTAGCTCTCGAGCCTTGTCTACAATCTACCGCACCTTTCTCCTGATGTCTACTATACAGGGTGTACACGTACCACTGTTGGTAAGCAGCTCTCGAGCCTTGTCTACAATCTACCGCACCTTTCTCCTGATGTCTACTATACAGGGTGTACACGTACCACTGTTGGTAAGTAGCTCTCGAGCCTTGTCTACAATCTACCGCACCTTTCTCCTGATGTCTACTATACAGGGTGTACACGTACCACTGTTGGTAAGTAGCTCTCGAGCCTTGTCTACAATCTAACGCACCTTTCTCCTGATGTCTACTATACAGGGTGTACACGTACCACTGTTGGTAAGCAGCTCTCGAGCCTTGTCTGCAATCTACCAAACCTTTCTCCTGATGTCTACTATACAGGGTGTACACGTACCACTGTTGGTAAGCAGCTCCATGCCGGGCTCCAGCAACTCCATGGCTGGCACCTCCAGACTCTCCTTACACTTGTGTAGACAGGTCAGCACTGCAGGCTTCTCTAGCTTGTTCAACAACACTGACAGTCCAGCCAGATAGCCCTGCAGATGGTGCTTCATCTTGTTCTCTGATCCTGCAACACACGCACAAAACTTGTATACTACATCGAGTTTAAAAGGAGGAAGATGTTCAAGTGGGCAATGGAAGAAGATAAGGAAACAACAAAATTGGATTAGGGTAACATTTATGAGGTGAAACAATGCTACTTAACCCTGAAAATTCAGACCTATTTCAAAAGAAGGAATACACACAATCAACTTACCAAATAAAAAAGTTCCAGACAACTAATGGCACACAAAAAGTTCACATATAGTTAATTTGATAGTTCAACCTAAGTGGAGTGCTTCTTCACAATACGTAGCATGTCTAAGTAGATTCTACTACTCCTCCTACAGAAGCCCGCTTGTAGGGGGGAATTATCAAATTAAAACGAGAAAGTTCAAAACTAATTAGATGGATTTATTTTGGAAATGGATAGGGTTTAGCTATCTTGACTGAACAAAAACCAAAGGTTTTTCAACTTCAGCAAAATATTTCATCTCAATTCAAGACTTCTTCCGGGAGCATTTAATTTTTCCTAGGATACTAGGCTTTTCATAGGTATTACTTCAGGCTAGGCCTAGGGGTTGTGCAATTTTCTCTTAGATAAAATCCATTGGTGATTTAGCAGGATTTATCCTCAGGCACTGAAGACTCTAGCAATAGACCAGCTCCTGCTTTTCAGGGAATTGATTTGCTCAGGTAATCTAACTAAACTCTATCTCATTTTAAAATGAAACTTTCTTTAATGTGAATATCAGGGTGTCTAGTTTATTTCCATTATAAAATTCAAGACTAATTCCAGACTTTTTAAGACTTATTCCAGATTTTTCAAGACTAGTTTTTTCCACAATTAGGGGGTGTAGATACCAAAATGTATCGATTCTCGATTCCTGATACCGATACCAGTTTTTATAGCTTAACCAAATTTTCTAAATAATACTACACCAACCCCTGTCTTTGTCATAAAGTAGTATTATGATAATGTGGTGTTTTCAAGTAAAGAAATAATGCAGCAATAAAAAATTCTAACTAGCAAATTTGTTTTTTTTTTATCATGAAATCTTCCGCGTACCGTACGTTTAGAAATCATCATTGACTGCAGCGGTTACAGAACCATCATCGTCGTCTCCCGCGGTCACGGAAACGTCATCGTCATCTCCCGCAGTCACGGAAACGTCATCGTCGTCGTCCGCAATCGCGGCAAAATCATTAACATTTCCCGCGGCCGTGTAGACATCATCGTCGTCTCCCGCGGTCACGGAAACGTCATCGTCATCTCCCGCAGTCACGGAAACGTCATCGTCGTCGTCCGCAATCGCGGCAAAATCATGAACATTTCCCGCGGCCGTGTAGACATCATCGTCGTCTCCCGCGAACACGGAAACGTCATCGTCATCTCCCGCGGTCACAGAAACGTCATCGACATCTCCCGCGGTCACAGAAACGTCATCGTCGTCGTCCGCGATCGCGGCAATATCATGAATATTTCCCGCGGCTGTTTAGACATCACCGTCATCTCCCGCGGTCACGGAAACGTTATCGTCGTCTCCCGCGGTCACGGAAACGTCATCGTAATCTCCCACGGTCACGGTAACGTCATCGTCGTCATCCGGGATCGCGGCAAAATCATGAACATTTCCCGCGGCTGTTTAGACATCACCGTCATCTCCCGCGGTCACGGAAACGTTATTGTCGAGGTCCGCGATCACGGCAAAATCATGAACATTTCCCGCGGCCGTGTAGACATCATCGTCGGCTCCCGCGGTCACGGAAACTTCATGGTCTTCTCCCGCGGTCACGGAAACGTCATCGTCATCTCCCGCGGTCACGGAAAGGTCATCGTCGTCTCCCATGGTTTCGGAAAACGTCATCGTCGTCGTACACTATCGCGGCAAAATCGTGAACATTTCCCGAGGCCGTGAGGACATCGTCATCATTGGCTTTCGCGGTTACGTAAATGGAAGACGACGATCGCGGCAAAATCATAAAAATTCCCGACTTTGAAATCAAATTTAAGACTAAATCCCGACTTTTCAAGACCATTATGAAATTCAATACTAATTCCCGACTTTCCCGATTTTCCCGACTACTAGACACCCTGGAATATGCAACCCAAGTTAGCCATGGCTCTGACCAAGTTTTTAGAACAATCTAACACTGACGTACCCTGCCAGCAAGCTCCCACAGTAAGAGTGGTGTTGATTCCCTTAGTGGGGTGCAGAGGCCAATCATCAATGATCTCAGGGTTCTTCTTCTCATTCTTGAACAGAGTTCCGTCTACATACAACTGCACCTCCGGGAACCTGACGAGGACAGCGTAGTGATGCCACTCATTGTCACATACCTAAGTTAGACAAGAGAAAGAAATTAATTCTGGTAAACTGGTATGTAAATTTAAACATATCAGTGTAAACAATTTAAGTTTTAAGCACACAATATTTCTTTAAACCCAAGAACCATAATTGTAAAAGAAATTAACATAAAATACAATTATTTGGCCGGTAGAGAGATGGATGTGTAATTTTTGTTATTTCTCATTATGACTACATTCTTTGACTATCCACATAACTAGACATTCCATCACCATGTTTAAGTTGTCTCCAGTTTATTTTTTATTTTTATTATCTAAATCACTGTAGTTGATGAGAGCCACAAACAGATTGCATTGGTGTTAATTACCGCTTTCTGTCGAATACATGTACATTTTACCAAGTCAAACTGATGGATTGACTTATTGTGAGCTATAGCAACTGTGACCCATCGACTATGTCAGCAACCAAAAATAAGGTAAAAAATAAACTTTAGGGATTCTGTGACTGCCTCACACAACTATGTCCTTTTTAATAAAAATTTTCCGACAACTGCTCCATATACATGCGATGTCTAGTTCAGTATCCAATAGTCAAGTACATGCAGGGCAAGAAGACTAGTTGATAGGAATAATGTACTAATTTACATTGTTGATATATAGGGAAATGAGAGCAAATCCAGTTGAAATTCAATCACCAGTCAAATTCTAGTTACCTGAGGAAGCTTCCACCTCCACTCTGCCGGTCGGAAGATGTTCAGATCACCTTCAGAGAAGTCTCTCCTCAGCAATAGAATCAGTCTGCAGTTACGGACGAACCAGGCATAGTGGTGGCGGTTCATTTCTGCAAAGAATCTCAATGTTAACACAAACAAAACCAGTCTTGAGACAACATACTAAACGTGTTTGTATAACTTTATAATCTGTTCCTTGATTTCATAAATTTTGTGAATAATTAATTACCATTGACTACTTTGAACGCTGAGGAGCAGAGCAACATTACACTTCAGATCTATTATCAAATGATAAAAAACCCAATAAACAGATTAGTACTGTTTTTTTTTATATTTTTTATGTTGAGGACAGTGAACTGGCTAGTGGCTAGTATACCCAATGTGACATATTTGTGTTCAGATTTACTACTAAGAACTCATTAAAATTTTGTTGATTTAAAGAGGTTGACGGCCTCTTTTAACCTTGGACTTGAACGCTCAGACATATCCAGAACAACAAGTGGTGAACCGAGACAGTAAAAGAGTGAACTGTACTTAAAAATGTAGTAGCGAGCACCGAACCATCAACATCGCTACCTTTGTTTTGTGTACACCAGGCTACTGACTGAACCACCAACTCCACAATTATTTATGATTGTGTCATAAACCTTCAAATGTCCAAAGTATAGAAATGTCAGGAAACTCTGCAACTTAATATATTTTAACTCCTACTCATCTTTTACCAGGCCACTACTTCACTGTTTTTACACACTTGTTTAAGAAAATTTCAAACTAATCTGAAAATTACAGAGAAATTATCAAAATTATGTTTTTTAAATCCAATTATACCCTCTCAATAGTAAAAAAACAAATTAAATACTGACTGTGATCGTCAGCGCTGCAGAGGATGTGCTCCTTTGTGTGCTTGTCCTGGTCAGCGTGTGCCTTGTGCTTGAGCCAGGTGGACAGTGTGAATGTGCGAGCCAGCCCGTGGTCCAGCACCTCGGTAGGGATGGCTGCGGAGGTAGAGCCGTCAAACTCAAACATCTGATCACTCTCATGTCCCTCGTCTGTAGCTAGAGACTTGGTCCACTCCGGGCCGGAGCCTGGGGTCGGCAGCAGGTCTACGCTCTCACTGCTGGCTCCTGTACGACAAAGTTCAATACAAGCAATGTTTATTGTTTGTTTTGCTCACAATGATGACATGGTTACACAAACTACAAACAAAATTGGACCTTATCTTCAACACGGATTATATTTTATTTCAACATACAATTATATTTTAAATAAGAGTCTAGCTAGGAATTATTTTGAAGAGCGACAAAGATCATCTAGCTTACTAGAGTCATAAGGGACTAATAGATAGGCCCTACACAAATAAAATATTACAAAACATAACCCTGATATTTTGTCTTTATTTAGGTCTTCTTCAAAGAGTATAATAAAGAGAAATATTTTTTTTTATTCGTGCCTCTGGATACTGACCACACAGTTTGCGCTGGCTCTGGACGGAGTAAGTGTCGCGATCGCAGCCCTTGCCGATGTGTGACGTGGCCAGTGTCAGTTTGGTTTGGACGGAGTGAACATTGCAAGGGACGTCACACAACTTGAGCTGCGCAGTGGGGAACAGATCTTCCCTGCCAGAGCCGGGGGCGTAATCTACCCTCTCAGGGATACCTGCTCACAACACACATGGTCACATACTTGGCAAGGCATCAGACCGTTTCCTTTATTTGACAGAGTAACTATTGCAGATATAGAAAAATGTAGGAATTTAGTTTAAAACAACACAGGTGTCCAAGTTAAAGGATTTTTAGCAGAAACCCCTCTCAGGAATACCTGTTCCAGGAAAACAAGTTGATCAAACTAAATTTCAGTGACTTAAGCGGGGGGGGGGGGGGGGGGGGCAGTGACAAAAACGCACGACCTTTGTTACCTATGAGACAATAATTTTCAGTGACAAACATGAGATAATCAGGCATACAATATTTTGAGCTGTAATGATTTAAGCTGGTTGCCTACTCCCAAAATATGTCCACGCTCACTAATTCTGAACTATACATTAGTCATTGCTTGCAGGAAGGTTCAAAACAAAAGATAGGTCTGGGAATATCATTTTAGTTAGGCCTGATTTTCACCATGACTTTTGGGTCCTTAAAATGAAAATCTGTTACTTTTCAGTGACCCCTAGTAAAACAGTGGTTGTTAAGGGACTTTTTTTTATGTAAATAAGTTGTTTACTATTTATTACTCTTTAACTAGGTACTCCAACAAACAATGTATTAAAAGCGTTTGATTGGTTTAAATAGCAACCAGCAGTGATGATGATGGATTCAGATAAAACATCAGGTGGTTCGTTTAACACATAAAATCAAAAAGCATTGTTGGCCTTCACAAAAACCAAAGTAAAGCTTTAATACTTGCATAAAATAAAAGCAGATGATATAAATGACATAATGAAAATGTGGCAAATCCAAGGCAATTGCAGAATGGTAATGTTAAATTATAACCATCTGAATTTACTTATTTCTTGTAACAAATTGGATTGTGAAATAAATGTTCCAGTTTATAAAATAGGCTATGGTGTAATGATCAATCATACGAACTTGGATATTTAAATACAAGATATGATCTAATGGCTTTTTGAGTTATATTTTTGAATGATTAACATAATCATTGCAGCACAATTACACAAGTGTATTCAAAATAGAATATGAGGGCTTCAAAACCTACAAGTAAAAATTATGTACTAAGGGGGAAAAAGCTTGTCAAAGTACGAGGATTATCAGCTGCTGAACCAACCTGAGAGAGCAACACTTAATGTTTTGCCTAAATAATTTGATTACATCCATTAAACTAAGTGACCTGATAAAAAATGACATGATTAACCACAAAAAAAGCATATATTATCAAAAGGCAGTGAATTTCAGCGGCATTTCTAAAATGAATAATGTAGGTAAACTAGGTAAGTTATGTTGCAGCAATAATGACAAATTCACACCAAACTATGCAGTCCCCAAAAAATCCCAATTAAATCTGGTACAAACCACTTTTGTTGGACTCCAATATATCAAGACCAGATCTATTGGATAATCTAAACTATCCCGACCTAAAAAACATATATTAGTACATACAGTATTACTATTTAAGCTCGTAAGGGTATAATCAAATCAAATCAAAACATCTTTATTTATAAAATATCTTTTTATAACAGAAAAGCTAAATCTCACTTTGTTTTAAGATGTTCCGCAAAGAAAACCATATAACTGATAAATAAGGTATGTTAGTCATATTATTGACTAAATCATTAGAGTTGACTAAGAAATAAAAATAATTAATTATGAAAATTGGATAATATGCAATATATCACATACAATTTTCTCTCAATCATTGCCAATCAGCTTAAGACCTCTGGATGAAAATCTTCATACATTTTTGTGAAGATGAAATATTTTGTCACAAAAAATTAAACTACACCAATAACATTCTGTACAAACTCCAACAGTTTAACCACGGTACTTGTGATTGTGAACGGAATAACAGATAAAGTACTCTAACAAGGCTATCTGTTATTTGGATAATTTTAATTTACTAAATGACATTACCTTTCCAGCCGAGTTTGCATATCCGGTTGACTTTGACAGTAACCATGACAGGGACGGACTGTTTCATGCCGCAGTCGTAAGCGACCACTGAGAGAATGTGGTTGTGGCTGCGTTCATAGTCTAGCGGCTCAGTGTTGCGGATAGCTCCTGAAAGACAGAATTAAATGGTATAACTTTATATTTCAATACCACTTAGCTTAATCCGTGAATTAGAGCTTTGTAAGAAAACAAATCAGGTCAGGATGGAATGAAAATCATTCCAAATGTTGTGTCAGGGATTAAGTTTGGAAAATGACAGTATGGAGGGATTTCACAGCAATGGTGGAGGATTTTCACGATTTTGACCTTGATAAGTATTTCTGATGTGTTCAAAACTGACATTTTATAAACTATCGTTACCACTAAGCCTAAGTTTATCTACACCTGAACAAAAGATAATTAGGTATTTGTTGTTCTAATCACTATTACTTATTCAGTAAATTTTGTATTCAAACTTTTGCATATAATAAACTCATTACACGTCCCCTCCCAAAAATCAAGGGGAAAAAATCATTTCCCTTTTAAATTTAAAACGGCTGTCGAGGTGATCCCTACAGTGAAGTGATATTGATCTTCAATTGCTGAAGATTTACCTAACAAGATTCAAAGATTCAAAGATTTATTTCAACAAGAAACAAGATTGCACACTTGTACAGTTGACGTCAAGATACTAAGACTAATAAATTAACAAGAGTGAATATATATATATATATATATATATATCTAAAGATCAACAATGCCATCTATATAACTATAAACAAGGTAACAAGGTGTAAACATAACAGAGCAAGACTAGTCAATGTCAATAATTAATTACTGAAACTTTAATTAATTCTGGAACATTTAAAATATTCTTCCAAACTATAAAACGGGTTGTTAAGCAGCCATTAGACTAGATTTAAAGGACTTCATGCTAACATGGTGTGACTCAAGAGGTAACCTGTTAAACAATTTAATACCAAGATAAGAAAAGGATTCTTGTGTTTTTGCAAGCCTTGCCTGAGGTAAATCTAAGTACTGTCTCCTCCTGGTTAAATGGACATGAGTTTCACCTCTTAAAGCTATGGAACCTAGATTTGCTTTTACATGTAACAAACACTTAAAAATAAACAAGCTATAAACAGTTAAAATTTTTTTACTGACAAAAAGTGGTTTACAATGTGCATGGTAACTAGAACTTGTAATTATTCTAATAGCTTCCTTTTGCTTTGACAAGACTCTTTTCATGCCATGGCCACAGCCCCAAAGTAGTATACCTTAGCTTATAATGCTATTGAAAAAAGCAAAGTAAGCCATTCTCAAGTAGAATTTTGGTATACAAGTTTTTAGTTTTCGAAGAAGATGAACTACTCTTGATAGTCTACTTGTAACATTATTTATGTGGAAATTCCAATTGAGTTTTGAGTCTAAATGTATTCCTAACAGTTTTACATTCTCATTCACATGAGATAAGCTAAGATTCCTGTTTCTTAAGCTAAACAAAATAGACTGGGTTTTGCTACTATTTAACAACAAACCATTACTTTTAAACCATATATTACATTCAGAAATGCAATTTTCCATCTGACCCTTAATAGTTTCAATGTTGACATCATTACAAAAAAAGTTGAGTCGTCAGCAAAAATTATTGACTTACTGTAGGAACATAGGATGGTAAGTCATTAATCAAAACCAAGATAACACAAACTAGCTGCATTGCATACCAAAAATAAATAACACACCTTCATTGTCAATCACAAATGGCTGGTCACTGGTGAGGATTTCATATTTGCAGATGTCACCAAACTTGGGAGTACAGTCCCTGTCAGAAGCCTCCACTCGGAGTATCTCCTGGTACAGTCGCCCCTCGTCCACCTGCCTGACGTATGACGGCTCAAGGAATGCAGGAGCGTACTCATTGATGTCCACCACGGTGATGTGGACGGTTGCACTGGAAATGTTGAAAAGATCATCTCATTTATCCGGTTTAGAAACTGAATAGGGAATTGAGACTAGTAAATAGTGGAACTTTAGAATGGGAAAATACCTAAACACATTTAAAATATCCATCATTTAACCCTTGGCATACCTTACCAAAGTTAGCTTTGGCCATATATAAAAAGTGTGGGGATAAAAATATTAAACACTTGATTTGTGATAATAGATTTTATAACCATACAATTACATGATCATTTGGTTTTTCCATTTCTTTTATCACGAGGAGAGAGTCTTCTAATATTCAAACAGTTTTTTCACATAAAAGACCAATCTTTTTAAGTGGACTCCAAAACCCCAAGTCATTCTAAAAGTCATGTCAAAACTCATAGCTGAAACCCATTGCTGATTGGTGGGATTTGAACCTAGAACTCAAGGACTTATGTCCTGTGTTCCAACACCAGTTGAACCCCCAAACAATATGACCAGAATACTGTCTAATATTGAATCCTAGGCTTGTCACTAATATAATAACTTTCAAAACAGGCCTATATGTTTTAAGTATGGCACAATTTAGTCTTTAGATCTGCCTGGCAAACAATTTTTGAATTTCAATTCCAGTAAAGAAACCCCTGTGAGTGGTTTGTAAATGTCTGTCTGATTTCTACATCTTCATTTTCACTATGAATGTTTTTGTTTGCTTTAATAATTACTAACCAAACATATTTAAACATTATTTTGATCATTTGAATATTTGATGTGTAAATAAGTAAGGTAAACAATTGTTACTAGCTCTTTAAAACTTGTTCTGATATTATTATTCACTGTACTATGTTACAGGTTTCATATTTAATCTAAAAGGAGTAAAAGAGTACAATTTTCCAACTGTATGCTAGCTTAGCAAATATATTTTAAACCTCTTAACTAACATGTCTAGAGGAAAGTCTGGTGTTTGTAAAGAAATCATAATCTACAAACACCAATGAGTCGTTAACTTCTTAATAGTGTATTCAACTCAGAATCATAAGCTGCCTTGATATCAAAGGCAGAGTAATGGAAACTGTTTCATACGGTAAAACAGTAAATCATATTTCTGCAATTTAATGAAAAAATAAAACCCAACATATTAATTCAAGTTAATCTTTTGATTTTATGTACAAAGTAAACAATTGTTTAGTAATAAAATTACTGACACAAGGAGATAAGTTAAATTTATTTCAGAATTATTTTTTATAATTTTTTAAACATAAACTTACTACTTTCCCCCGCTATGGTAGTTAGGCATATATTTTTTTAAGTTTTCTTTCAAATAATTGATTATGGTAGACTTACTTGTAGGTTAAAGAAAAAAAGCGATTAAAAAGTTATAATATTCATTAATAAATTATTTTACAGGATGATAGCCTAAAAGTCGAGGGTAATCCAGAGCATATTACAAAGTGACAGTACTGAATATTCATCAAGCAGGACAGACAAGTATGTAGTAAAACAACCTGTTTAAAATAATAATTGCAAATTTTAATATGTTTCAAACTTGTTCCTACTCGTTATGAAGTTGCAGAACCTGTAAATACTACTACACACGTCAGACGTGTATGTCAGGAGAAATTGAGGAAACTGGTCAATAAAAACCTTGGCCTATCATACAGTCCCGGGGTCAGGAGAATATACGTCACTAGTTACACCTGGTCAGTAAATCTTGTAGTACAATGAGTGCCACAAACTTCAGTACTTTGACAGTGTCTGCAAGTTATTTATTGATCTTTTAGTGTCAATATGTTTTGCCACAGGACTCATAAGATGCATTGAGGAAAGGTCAAAGGGTCAAAAATCTGAATGAAAGTTGTATTTGCATAGGTGAGTTGGATTTTGAGCTTGCACAAAACCAAGATAGACATCTTAAATGTAAGCTCTTAAATGTAAGCCCTCTGGGGTGATTTGTTGATCGAATGTGCACTCAACAGCTAAGAGGTGGGACAGTAAAAGAATACTTTCAATAGAGAAAATTAACGCTGTAAAGAGCGAAATGATTAAATTTATAAACACACAACTAAAAATATATTTTAAAAATGATATGTAGGTTGACACTACTATATTTCTTAGTAAACAAGTAGGCCTAAATAAAAGTTGATAAAAAAAATCTAACTAAAAATAAGTTTAAAAACATTTTATTTACATATTTTTATATTAGTTTCAGTTATTTAGAGAAATGCATTAACTACGGTACTTCTTACATGTAATTATAAAAAAAGTTTGATAGCCTATCAGATCCTTAATTCTTACACAATGCCCAAAAATCAATATACTAGGGTCCACGAGAGTCTGCAGTTGGTGTCAGCCAATCACAAGACAGGGTTAGTTTGAGGTTGCCATATCGCCTGTTGACAACACTAATTAAAATATATTAAACAAAATTTTCAAATCAGCTGGTATTATTAGATTTGGCAACAACTTGCAATCCTCATTGGCTCCTTCTAAGTCACGTGGTAAAAGGCTCCTCCCCCAACTGCAGACTCTCGTGGACCGTATTTTAATAATGCTTGACCACTACTGTGGTGTTAAATTTACTTGAAGATCTCAGCTTTGTAAAAACTCAGCCCTTAAGGATTATAGGAGAAACACACTCGTATAGCATACAACAAAAGAAATGTTAACAACTTAGCACTACTGATCCACCATATCATAGGAGAAACTTAAGTAGCCTACATGAGAAGCAAGCGTTCAACCTACTTTAACGGAACAAAGAGGCTTCAAGATATAAACACAAAAATTGAGATGACATCTATACCCTCAAATAATTACTCAACTAGAAAAATCTCTGTTATGAAAAAAAGACTTATTTATGACATCACTATATTTCTCCTGTTTAAATTAAACAACAAAGATTATATGACTTACTTGTCAGATTGTTCGCCACTGCAGGACACAGCTGCAATGTCAAACTTGTAGTTCTTCCGCTTCTCACAATTGAGGACCCGGCGAGCTCTCAGTTCTGCCTCTCCTTCCCCCTTCAAAATGATCTGAACAAAACCAAACACACAACCTCACAACCAGAGGAAGATATTTGTCTTCATCCTAAGTTAAAATAAACATACAGTAGACTCCCTCATATCCGGGCACCTTTTAACCAGATAAGTTTTATCAGCACATCGATTTAAGCAGACTAGATCGGCAGGAAGTGGGCGGTACTGAAACGACTGATCTATTTAATCAGTCCGTTTTAACGAGTTTTTGGGGACGTCGGTTTAACCCCTTTATCTGGACTGGCCTCGGTCCAAGGAGTCCGGATTAGAGGGAGTCTACTGTATTCAACAGTAAATTGTAGTTAACAGGTTTTCACATAGGCCCTCAATAGATGTAAAGTAGATAAAAGTTTTTGCTGTACCTAGGGGTTTTCTGGTGAAAATTGTTTTTGATCTGAAGGCAGTCCAGTCGAGGGCAATGTTAACTTAGTATATAACTTAAAAGTTACTAGGCCTATTTAATAAACTACAACACGGAGGTGTTGGGGTGTGTCTTTAAAGGCTAAGACCAATGGAGGGTGAATGATGGTCATAGAACAGCTTGGATTTCAATGAGAAATCCAAAAAGTTTTGCACCATTTTGTGTGTGTTATTCTTGTTTAATAAACCATAGTTTAGATAGACTAAATAGGCTACATCATTCATTGGAGCATCACGTAACAAGCAGTGATTTTATTAGGTGTTGTAAATGTCAGTGGATAGTTGTTGTCAGTGCTAGATTTGTAAAAATTGAGATATCGGAACTGTTACCTATTTAAAGTGATTAGTACCTACTTATGCCAATATTTTAATCAAATCTTTCCGAAAAAGAGATAACGGAACTCCGTTTTGCCGCGTTCCTCCTCAAATCGAGCACTGGTTGTTGTTTAACAAAGCAAGATAGGGAAATAAGCAGAGTAGTAATAAGTTGGTCTAATTATGTTTTTTGTCTTTTGAAAACCATGTTGGTATGCTAGGTGGAGTGGTATAAATTACTCACCTCAAAAGGGGCTTCTCCATGATGTTTATTTACAATCCGGAAACTGCAGATGTCAGCCCCGACGCCCCTGATCCTTGGGGTAACTTCTACAAGAGTTTCATTCTCCTTAACCAGACCATGGTAGCCACTCTCCAGACTGTCAAGGTCCAGCCGGGGAACTGCAACGTCCAATCAGGTTGATTAACTTACTATTCTATACCAAGTTTGGTAAGGTCTAAATATGAAAATTCACAAGCTGGTTTACAACCTGCCTTCAGAAGAACACTGGAAAATTAGTTGAGTGTTGTTTCTCACAATCTAGGTCCTCTTAACAGCACTTGCATGCGTTGTGGCGCATTTCAAAGGCCACAAATGGACATTTTGACGCATGTTGCCACTATGGACTCATTAACATGCCACAACCACAATTAAATTACGAACTAAAAGTCATGTTTTTACACGGTTCTAACTTCATAAAAAACATAAGGCAATACAACAGTGCAATGGTTTTTGCGTCGCTTTCCGCTACACAAAGAGATTCCGAGAAATGGGCCTTATTGTTTTAAATTCAGGGACAAATTCATAGATATATTTCTGACTTAGTACCGCGAAATGGGGAGTTGCCTTCATATGGACAGTTGTGTCTAAATTAGGGGCTATGGCCCCTACAGGCCACTAGTTTTTGTTATTCTTATCATATTGGCTTATTATTCATATTATTTCTTTTTGTTATCATATGGTAACATTTATTTAATACCAGTATCAAACCCAATATTTAGGCCTAATTGATTGTCTGCACACAAGATTGTCTGCAGTTTAAGTCAAGATTTGGCAGTATCACAACACCACCAACCCCAACAAGTTAAACTTCTAGGCTTCACCATTATAGACAGGAAATTAAGTTGGCAACCTCAAATTGACGAAACATGCCAACAAGTTATCTAGAATTGTCTTTCTGCTGCGTAGGCTTAAGAGTAGCTTAAGTGATGCCTTTCTTATAAACATCTACCACGGACTGTTCCATGGTCACATCACTTACGCAGTGTTGGGGAAGCTACTTTTAAAATGTAGCTAGCTACAACTACTGCTACATTTCCAAAAAAGTAGCTTAGCTACAGCTACAGCTACAGTTCCGAAAAAGTAGCTAGCTACAACTACAGCTACAATGAAATGTAGCTACAGCTACAATTTTAGCTACTTTTCCAAAGACGTTACTTTTTATTCCATGCACATTAGGTAAATGTAAAATTAATTGCAACTACATTTTTACTGAACAAACATTAAAAAAATGTAAGTATTGTATGTAACATTAATTGGAAAACAAATTATTCCTAGATTGTATTTAATTTTTTGGCATTATAAACCTAACATTAAGTACAACAACAGAACCAAATAGTTGGGTGTCCCATCATATTTAGTACTTATTTTTAAATAGCCTATTGCATAATTTTTAATGTAAATTTCATTAAGTTCAAAGGACATACAACCAAACTATATTTTAAAAGCTCATTTTATTTCTTTAATATAGATTCATTTGTCTTATATCAACAATTAAGACCAATAAAACTGTAAAACGATTATTTAAAAATACATTTTTGTGTTACAGAGCCTAGCCTACTGAAATTGGAGTTTATTGCCTTTCTTTACTTTTAATGTTAAAAACGACATTGCTATAAACTTTTAAAGTGATAAGTTACTTGTTCTATGAATAACACTTTTCAATGTCAAGAAATCGTCCTTTATTGTCATTATGCATAGGGCAAATTGTGCTTCAACCTAGTTGGTACAGAAAACAGTATCCATTAACTTATCCAGAAATCGGCTTTTAATTTAAACATGTTGAAATTTGTAAAGTAAAAATAACATGTAGGCCTACTTGGCTATGTAACAAGTTGGCTATAGTAGGCTTGTTCTTGCAAGAACTAAACAGATATATTCCTAATAATTGAACTTGGAACTTGGTATTCGTCTTAAACCATAGCATAGCCTAGGAATTAATAGTCCTATACAAGAGCTGTTACCAGGAGCAAACTATGCTATTTTTTCAATGAAAGTTTCATGTTATATGGAGATTTTTTCGTTACAATTATCATTCAGTCTAGGCATATCTTAAATCACATCAGGTAATTTCCTCTTTGTTAGTTTAGTAAACCTTTGAAAAATCTTCGTAATCTAACCAAGGAAGGGCTTGTGATGATGAACCACAATCAACAGCTGAAGCAAAGGTTGATAGACCAGCTTTCTCATTATTTTAAGGTTTATTGTTGAACACTATCGGTATAATAAACAAACTAAATTGATTACTAATTTCCCTGTCAATCACTTGCAAGCATTCAATAGCTTAGCTTCTCTTCTTGTCACCGGTAACGTTTAAACGTCGTCTGCATCTAGCGATTTTATTTTATCTGACAGTAATCATAGAGTAGTAAATTAAGGAAATGAGAGCCAAAAATGTGGATAACACTCATTTAATGGCCTCCATGTCCACACAACGTTGTTATAGGGAATGAAACGGCTGCAACCAGCTGTATGAAGCCAAGAAAGTAAGGCCTATTTTTTTGAAAATCTCAGTTTGAAAGAGGTTGTTTCACGTAAGGTTGAGGTTATGATAAAAATCACTATCTCAAACAATGTTAATGTAGCGAGAAAAGTAGCTAAAATTCCGCTACAACTACTTTAAAAATGTAGCTAGCTACAGCTAAAGCTACAAAATCTTAAAAGTAGCGCGCTACTTCCCAACACTGCACTTACGGCATACTTCTCTGGGGCCATGCTTCAGGGTGTGATGAAGTGCTCAGACTACAAAAATCTGCCTTGAGAGCCATAACATCTAGCGCTCCTTTGGAACACTGTAAGCCAATCTTTAGAAGGCTAAAGGTGCATACTGTTATTGGGCAGTATATATTCTCCTCCCTTGTACACGTCAGGTCGAACGTTGAGCTACTAAAGACCAGAGGAGATGTTCACAGCTATAATACACGTAGAAGCAAAATTGACATCCCTAGATTCCGCCTCACTGGAACACAGCGCCGTTTTCCTGCTTTTTCTTGGAAGTTGTTCAACAAGCTCCCCCCAGAGACCAGCAGTCTTCCAGAAAAAAAGTTTGCCAGGGTTGTACGAGATAGGCTTCTTCAAGGAGCATACTAAGTTAAGTTACTTCGTGAGAGAGTATTTTGATGACAAATGGTAGAGTGCACAATCACCTCCGTAGTCACCCGCCAAGTTCTTATTTTTATTTTTGAAACTTTAAAATTTATTTTCTTGAAAGATACAAGTTTTATTTGTTGAAAATAATTAATATTTATATTAAAAAATTGACACAGTTTATCCAGCTATGCTGGTCAACAACGCAGCTTTGGTAATAAGGTAATACAAATCTACAGTAGGCTATACATCGTTTATCACAGGTTCTCTGCAGAACTGTAACTTAGGGCCTACCCCTTATAATTTTATCAAGCCCATTCCTTTAACATAAGTTAAGTTAGAAGATTTTCAAACTTAAATTTAATAAGCAACTTGCAAAAAGAAATATATAAAAATAGGCTAAATAAATTATATAAGTTTTAAAAATAAATAATTTAAATTTAAAAATGTTTTAAAGGACCATAGGTAGACAATTAAGATAGGCCTAGTAAAGTTAAAGATAGCTTGTCAGAATCAAGGAAAGGCACACGTTCCATTATCAGTGAGCAACTCCAATACCGTTATGTGTTTAAAAAATTCTCAATATAAATTTTCAACATTAAAAGCAAAAAATACATTTTGTTATAATTCCCCAAATTTGTACATCTAAGTATTGGAAACTGAAAAGCAAACCCCCAATAATAAACCTATAATGACAGAAAGATAATTCTTTTATCGGCTGCTATACAGTACAGTATTGGATTTAAATCCATCGTATATTACCTAATACAAGGCATACAAAGTTCTTAACCATGTAAATGAGTCAGAACTCAGAACGAAGATTTTAAGATTTCGGGGCTGAGTCAGGAACTCAACCATCCCCCCGATGTTAATTCCTCCTTCGTTTGGAGAAATCTGAGCAATAAAAGTATTATACGAAAACTGGGAGGCAATACTGTTTAGTACATTTTAAATAATCAAATAAACGTAACTTTAAAGAATATCAGCTTGGTAACAACTCTACGTATATTTAATGAAACAAACTAATACGACAAACCTATACCTACTCCCTTTACGAAAACCCACCTCCATTAGCGAATGTTTCTAAGGTGCCATTTGTTGTAGATGCTGCACATCCCAGGTAAACTGCAAGTAGTAAACACTTCTGGATCATGATTCGACTCATTCTACATCAATTCAAAGTATAAGCCACTGATTTAAAATAATTTTAAAACATATCTGCATAAGCCGAGGAAGGCAGCACAACACGGACCGATTTCTCTGAGGTGTTGGTGTACTAACTAATCTCAGAAGCTGACCTGCGTACAAAGAGTCTTGTACTGCGTAAAACTAGTTCGAGTGGTATGCCGACAGAAAGCGCTGAAGCACGGAACTGACGATGTTCAATTCATTTTGGTAAATTTCGAATTAAAATTGAACAACGCTGAATAAACCTGAGGGTAAACAGTTGAATATAATTAAAACTAAATATATGAAGGTCTTATCACACTATTATGGGTCTCAATTGTTTTCTTATATTGTAAAATGTCGCCATATGATACTCAGATGGTGCTGCAACCTGTAGCGGCTCTCCTGAAACTACATTCGATGGTTTGTCTGCTTGTATTCTTTTCCTTCCGAGAAAATCTATTTGATTTTAATTCTTTGCACCTGCGCACAAAGCAGGTGGCTCAAGTAATCTATTGACTGAAGTATTTGGATTTCTTCCGTGGCGGCAGTGGTGGCACGCTTTGAAATAAGGTTTAAATAATGGTTTAGGTTCGAATTTCGTTCTGCAAAATGTTATTTTAGATATTTAGAATATTATTTCAATATTTTTATGAAATTAATAACTTACTTATTTAAAGTCATGCGTTTGAAAATTAAATAGTAATAGCAAAGATTACATATGCTAAAAATATGTAATCTTTGGTAATAGGTAAGTAGTGCTGTTGAATACTGTAACTATTTTGAAACTTAAAAAACAATAACTATTTTTTTTCTATTTCTTATATGATACTATTTTTGCGATAATTTTCCCACATTTAAATAGGGAGGCCTAAATAATAAATTCCTTATATAATCTTTAAGTGGTTGTTATTTAAGAGCAAAACACAATTTTAAAAGTAAAGCAACATTTTACAAAAAATGTGAATTTTTTTGTTCTTTACAGTAGGTAGACATAAGTACACTGCTCTCTAACAAAAACACATTCTGGTATGAAAAATACTAATTTTATAATACTTCAATTTATGTGGTTCCGTACAGTACATTATAGAAAACGAATTACTTTTGGTTAAAACACTACCATACTTGTTATAGGCTAGTGGTTAGATTTAAATTTTTATTTCTTCATTTGTATAAATTTTAATACTTTTTTCTGCAACTGCAAAAGATAGCAAAATGTAAATCTAACATTATTTGCTATTTAAAATAGCATAACGAGATAACATCTAGAAGCCTCTAAACTGGACATGTTACAATATTATCAAAATGTATTAGCTAAAAATTGTAAAATTGTAAAGTAGTTAGGATATGACAGAGGTTATATAAGAAACTGCAATGCATAAGTGTATTTTTTATTGGATTGAATCACCTTTAATTTACTATTTACCTATTTCTATCTATTTATGACATACATAAAAAATGTGTTTAATGAGATCAATTGTACACCTTTATCTAACATGTTACATTATCCTAAAAGGTAACTATTCCAAATGGTTAAAACTTACACGTATGGAGATAAAGATATCAAATAATTGTTTAGATTTTAAGTTATTTGTAAATTAAGGTTGAGTTTATTGATATAATTGTCCAACTAATTCTGAGTAGAAACGAGCTTGACTTAAAGGATTAAACATTTAAATTACACAATGCTCAGCACTATGATTCTTGGGCTAGTGTAGTGCAAATTAGACAACTTAAAATTTTGGTTACAGTACATTAACCAGGTAATTTAATTTGTTTGTAGACACTGGGCACTGTTTCATAATAAAACTACAAGTTACAAGCTTTAACTTGTAATTTCCATAAGATTTGCGTTGGGCGATCAGCTGATTTACAAATAATATTAGTTTGTTATTTATTATGAAACAGGGCCCTGGTACGGTAACATCTGTGCTCAAGTGTTTAATTTCAAATATTAAAGTGTGTTACTTTAAGCCTACTGTATACCTCGATCCCTGATTTGGAATTAGAGGTTGAAATACTAATTAATTAGCAACAGAGGAATATTAAGTTTTATATATTTTTGTACTTTTGTGGTTCTACTACATCTATAAATATTTAGTCAATATCCGCATGGGTGTTGCAACACCCAAAATCTGAACATATGTACGTTGTGCCATACTGATGAGCAGTCTATTGTTCTGTATTGTTTGTCAATGACTCAGCACATGGAACTTTCTGGCAAACATGACCAAATTTTGAAACAGCAAATCAAGGTCTTCCTTGGCACTTCTAAACCAATCATACTACATTTGTTTATGATTTTAATCGTCTTGAAGACTTAGAGCTATGTTATTAATTAGTTTGAGGGTAGATCAATGTGTTTCTTTTTCTTGTGTAACATTACCAAACCAATTAGTGTTTATTTGTATACATATAATTGTTTACAGCGTGGTTTTATTGTGTAATAAAATTGAAAATCTGCTGGGCTACTAACTTTGACTGTTTATCAAAAAAGATAAACAACTTTATCTTTTTCGATAAAGAATGACGACGGATAGCGCCACGGTTCCAAAACTTTAGCCCTTAACTGTACTTAAGTGATGCCCTTTCTTAACATTCTGAGACGTATTTGCCCATCTACGTAAGAAAAGAATTCATTTAATTTGACACATCAAACGTTAAAATCCGTCCAGCCGTTATCGAGTTATGACTGTGAAAAGAAAAATGCTTGCGTATTAATATATAGATATAGATGGAAACTCATAGATTCATCATTCATACAGATCAACTGAAAACAATTTTAAGGTAAATTCATGAAAAGGTGGTTATGCCGTTTACAATTTAATTCTTATTATTAGACCTATTTGAAAACTATTTCAACTAAATAAAACAATTGGTTTTCTTCTGTGATTTTAGCCAAAAAATACAAAAAAAAATGTAACAACCTTCTCTTGAATACAAAAGGAAACGTTTTATCCACATGAGTACACTTGTCTGTCACCAACAAACATACATAAAAACGTGCTCAGATTTAACAATAAGATGAGAAGTCTACTAGCCCTATCCAAAGACAAAGGTTAAATATTTTTTAAATGAGCTATTTATATCAGACAAACTGTGTTGGAATGAGTGAAAATATGATTTTTCAAAGAACTTAACCAACAGTTAATAAGTTAAACATTGTTCACAGAGAAGAAGTAAGATACAGCGGAAACATTCAATGGTACACTTAAGTCGAGTCTAGCACCAGTCGCATGTGTCTAGTGCAAATTCTATTGGTCGTCCCCTTCCGCTCTCCTCTCCCCCTCCTCATCACGTACTACAGCACTCACACTAGAGCCTGTGCACTGCAACTGAGCTGTTGTAAACAATAACCGTTGGGGCTCTTCTTTGCTCTGTACTAGTATATTTCCGCCCCACCATCCCAGAGCTAAAAGCGCACGTCCCATATGCATGTTTCCTCTGTATCTTACTTCTCTGTGATATTAGGGGTCGGAATCAAGAAGGAAGACAGTAATCATTGTAACTGTTTTTCACATTCTAACCCTCAAAATTGAAATACACTAATAAAGAACTTAATCTTATCCATATTCTTAGAACTAGACAAGAAAAAGAAAAGACCATTTCTACGTCAAGTCTTTGATCACACCATCTAAAATCCTCACGCTATTCCCTAGGAAGACACAACATGTAAATAATAGAATCCCGGTCCTGGAAGAAGATTCAACCTAGCAGAAGTCATGAAAATATGAGTACGCACACAGTCTTTATGACAAGATATGACAAAACAATCATATTTTCATCAAATTAAAGTATTCAAATTATTGTCATCTGTATGGTTTACAACTTAAAAGTCTATTAAGCTAAGACAAATTTAGATGTTTACCTTTATGAGTGACTGACAGTTGTCAAGTGAGAGATGTCAAACAATAAAATCAGTTATACAAAAACTTATCACAAAACAAGTGGAGAGGGTGGGGTTAGCAAAATATGGCAAATAATTTGACTATAGCTTCCGTTTGATTCCAATGAGTTAAAAATTCTAAGGTTTAATTTCTCTCTAGAAAAAACCAAGCAAGGTCATTTTCATCTGGCGATTGATTTTTCAAATAATGATACATTAAATTCAACGCATTTCTAGCAACCAGAAGAACTGTGGAAGCAATTCAAAATTAATGACTTTCAAAAATTTTAAGTTCGGTACTTGTTTAAAAATTAAGGGTCAGTTTTACAAGGACAGGTCTGGATTCCTAAGAATAACATTAAGGTTGAGTGTTAGGTGAATTTTCACTCGCACTTCTGTTTTACAACGTAGGATTTTTGAAGCAGATCAGCAAATATAATCTTGGTCATAAAACCAATATCATAGCAAAAATCACTTGATGTGTATAACAGAAAGAGATTATTTGTCTGAATAAAACAAGTATGATAAAAATACCCCCGCCGCAGCAAACCTGCAGACTAAGCGAATTTCCATTTGCCTGACTGGATTTACACTAAAATGTCTCCTTAAAAATATAACATTTATTCCCTATTTAAATAACATTAGTTTAACGAGTAACGAGCAACAGGGAGGGTAAAAAGGTATTTTTTTGTAAAATAATAATTTAGTATGAAATTAATGCATTTTCCAAATTTCATCAAAATATGTTCATAAACAAGCAAACTGCAACAGTTTACTTATTCTCCATAAGAATAACATGGGAATTTTAAATTTACAGATTTTTGAAATTTTTTCCGTAACCATTAGGCGCATAATAATAACGCTTCAATACACTAAATTATTTGGTTTCTTTAAGCTTTACAAAATGGTTTGGAAAGAAAATGCTAAATTTTAAGTTTTTAGGGTCAAAAATGGGAAAAACCAATTTTTACCCCCTAAAACCCCTCATAAACCCCTGTTCCCATAGTCTGATCATGCTGGTTCGGGAACTCATTAGAATAAACGTAGGTTTACACGATTGTACCAAATTTCATCAAAATCGGATGATTTTTGCTTGAGTTATCGCGCTATATATAAATGGTTTTTGGTTTCTAGGGACCTCAAAACGAAAAAGTAAATCGGTCCCGGGTCCAGGTCTTACCATGAGTACTACGGTAATAGCTTATTCCCTATAGGGGAAATTCGCTAAATACAACATGATGAATAATAACACTTATTCCAAAGACCTATTGAAACATTTTATGAAATCGTAAGAGCCTAACAATTTCTATATATTTCTTAACTGTTCAACAGTACTTGTACATATTTTAAAGGTAAATAATGCATTTATATTGAATCTTATACATTAGATTTTGAATAAAATAAATGTTTAAATAGTATAACATTGCAAGTATAACCATAATTAACTATATAATCAAAAGCTGTGTAACAAATTAAAATACATTAAAATTGACCACATTTATCAATGAACATTTTCTTAACATTGAGAGTAAAAAATATTACAAATATGCATCAAAACAAAAGGTTTTAAAAAAAAGGTCCTAATCTAAAACTTAAAAATAAATAATCATTGGTGGGGCCTATTACGTCCATTATAATGCAATTTTTTTAATGTGTCGAATTTTAATCTTGTTTGTGATTCTTGGTGAATACCTATTAATTAAAGACATAACTTAGAATATTAATTAGCCTAATTTTCTTTTTAAGACTTTTTTTACTCCTCTGAGCTTAGTTTTCAAAATAATATTTTTGTATTATTAACTTACGTAGCCTCTCTCTTACAACACAATATTATCACATAAAAATGACATAAATAAGCTTGTTCTACGATCGAAAAACTCCTAATATTATAATGTTGATTGTATGATTGAGGACACTTTACATTTACTGATGAAATGAAGGAATTGAAAGTATTAGGCCAAACTGAATTAAACTTGCCGTGTAGTCGGAAGTATCGTTTACAATCACAGACATTATCTACATTTCTCGCTGGACCAGAATGTATTCCGTACGAGCGACATCTTCGACTGCCCAACAACTCCGCAGACATGATAGGACGAGGACTGTGCCGAACTCTATGTGACCCGAGCCACTACCGGAGAGCTGCAGACGTGTTATCAGGGTTGGCAACAGCTGTAACTCAAAGACGAGGTCTCCATGGCAGTGCTGGCAACATCGCGGCACGTCGCTTGGAGGGTACAGAAACAGCGGAGCACCTCCGTCCCTGATGTACCTGCAAATAAACATTTGTATTTAATTATATTGCTCTTTATGATAAAACACACCTTAACATTGCATAAACGCTCCTATTATTTATTCCTGACACGTTTTAACAAAAATATCATAATATTATTTACCAAGGTAAAAATCATCCTTAAGTAAAAAATACCAATCTACAAACCGCATAAACATACAGATATAATTATAAAAAGGGGACCCTTGCGCGGATTGAGCTTTTAATGGGGTTCAAAACTTAATTCCAAGGTAAAATAATAATGCAATACCCTTTCACCTTTCGAAGAACTAGATCTACACTATAATGACTGAAAAGAGATTTACCTAGACCCCAATCAGGTTGCAATTATCAAAAAGGTAGCCTATTTAAAATCCATTTTAATAAATTGTTTCGTCTGTCTCTTGTTTACAATATGACTGGTTTAAAAATTCAACTGAAGGATCAGCTGTAAGATTATTACAATCATATTTATACCGTTATAAAGAAAGTTTGTCAGCAACACTGGATCTTTGAAAGTGAACTCTAGAAATATTTTAAACACAAGGGGGCAAACACTTAAGGAAATCGCCTTATTCATTACCGTTCACAGGTGTGCTGGATCATAAGCTTTAAAATTACACCGCAATCATAAGAATCGGTTAAGTAGGGCAGCTGAAAAAGGGATGTTGCAGAGGAACCCTTTATTGTATAGGCGCTACAGATATAGGCCTACTTAAGCGACTTCATAAGGGGCGCTAGTACAGTCAATGCAACCCGCATGATAATAAGCTTGATGTTTCCAGCAAAGTTTCTCAAGTATTATCCAAGGTGTGAATAGTGCTGCAGAAATCTTTGGCTTAGTAGACATGTATCGCTTTATCTTATTTTACAGTTACAATAGCGATTTTTTTTCCAAATATAGCCTAACATAAAATAAATAAACATGTCATTAAAAATATTGTAACCTTTTAAAACACAAAAAAAGCCCAAGCTTGGTAGCCTAAATTAGGCAAATTTCTAAAAGAATTTGAATCACAGCTACCACAAACAGTCATCAATTACAATAATACAGTAACATACAACAGCGCTATCGCTATTCTTTTAATTGTATCTTTCACTTTTCAATATCAAAGTAAGTGTTTAAAACGTTATTAACCTCAATATTTGCCCTGGGTTCCGCTGTATCCTTGTGATAAACTGGTGGAACAGTTTGTCTCCGTGGGGAGGGAGAGTTTTCTCGTACTTCTCTCCTGTATCACTTGCGTTCACTTCTGCCTCTGTCGTCGTCTTGTTGATGACAGAGTTTACCTCCTCGTCCATCATCATGTGTTTGTAGACATCCGCGTTCACTGGACTCACGGTTTTGGCGACGTCTTCTTCACACACGCTTATGAAGAAACTCGCAAACTGTAACGAGTCTGAGGGGACCTTGAACAAGAGACGAAAAATTTCTAACAAAGTTTAAGAGTACGGTATAGACCTCCAAGTGTTTTTGGAAATAGTTAAACTGTGTTTAAGATGGATTCCCATGATATATTTCTTCCACGTTACTTTTGCTTAGGTTTACAAAGTAGAATTAGAGAAAAGATACTCATTATAAAAACCACAATATGATAATAGTGCACAATAAGCTGTTCCAGCTGCGATGCAATCCCATGGTCACTTGTAAGCCTGGCCCTCTGTTTGAAAAAAAGGGATAAAAACCTACATAGGGTTCCATATATATTAATATTTTTTTAGAGTATAGCTTTAAATTAAACAACATTTTATCCGCTTCATGTAACCTGGGGGTGAATTTGGTTTGAAAAGACGTAAAAACAATGCTTATACTAAAAGATGGTGGAATAACTTACATACTGTTTGGAACCAAATATAAAGCTATTATTATTTTACAACAAAATCTAAATTACCTTCTTAACCAGTTCTATGAACTTTCAGTAAAACAATTACTTGAATTAGAATTCAAGGGGAAGTTGATTGGCAAATTTAGGACCCCTGAGGTATTAGAATGAATGACGGAAAATTGTTTTAAATATTAACTTTCGATGATTTAAACGATTTATTTACAAAAACCTAAGTAATACTATAGGGTCAATATTTTTATGTTTAGGCTTCATGGTGACTTATCGTGGAATTATCTATGCTATTGTATATTATTTAGAGAATGGTTAAAACAGGACAGAGCCAATCTTTTTCATTTTTGGCCTGGAAGAAGCGGGTTAGTTATTGATACCTATATGTTAACTTATTGAGCTGGTAGGTCAACAGAGTTGACAATCAAGCTGCTAATGGTAGAAAGTTTATCTGATGGTACTAAACCAACAGCCATTTGGTACACTTCTCTAGTCAAATTTATTGACTTCAACTGCACAACAAATCTACTTGTTACTGTGTAGCCTACTTGGTAGGGATTGAAGCTGGACATAGATACTACTGGATACTATTTTACTGGACTATTAATTATTTAGTGAATTCTTTGCAACGGGTTGACATTAGTAACAACAGCCGATTTAGACCACTCTCCTTTAAAAAAATTAAAGATCCATGGTGTAGGCTTTATCCTTATGAATTAGAAAATACATAAAATAACTATATTAGTATTCTAGAGGATAGTCATAAAAAATATTTAAACTCAACTGGCTCACCTGTGGCACAGGTTTGACCTTGTCGAAGAGTGCAATGACGTCGGTCTGAGCTGTGGTGGGAGTGTCAATAGTGACCACCTCCCCCTCATCACCCTCTATCTCGGCCGTGGCCAGGTAGCTCAGTGGGTTACACATCGCTCCAGCCGCAGAGACCTCCTCTCCCCCTTCTGCTCCTCCCCCTGCCACACACAACCCCTCCATTCGGCTGCTCAGGTTGCCGTTGATCATGCTCGGGTCGTTGTTAACTCCTTGGATGAAGTTGCCATTTTCCTCGTCCTCCCAGTTGTCTGCACCCTCACACCAATCAAAGTTTTGTGTCGTCTCTTGTCTGTCGGATTCAGTTTCTACCGACTTGGTATCGAGTATCTGGCTCCTCAGACAAACCCAGCTGAAATAAACGAACGTTTTCTTAGGTAGGCAATTCAACAATGTTTAACATAGTTTCAGTTAGGCTATTCAAGCTAATTGAATTTCATCCTATATGTTCCATCCTACAGGAAGAACAGATTTTCAAATACTAAATACATAAACTTTTTGACCTATAGAAACTGTGGGTTTCCAAGTTATATCCACCTATGTATAACCTAGGAATAGCAACTATTTTTATCTCAGGATTTCACCATTCACATGGGCACCGTAGAACCAAATTTTAAATCGTATAATTATCGTAACAAGTTAAATCTAGTACAGAATCTTGTATTGTGGAGTAGAGCTTTAATAATAACCGTAAACATCCAATTAATCTGAACAAGTCTGAGTGGTTTATTTAATTCATTTTTATTTACTTAGGCTGTTTATATATTTATTATTTTGAACATGCCTGCTTTCCTTGTTATTTATGGTTAGTACAAAGGGCAAAATTCGGTACTTTCCTGTTAAAGGGAACATTCATTATTATCAATGATTTTTTTTCTCGATATGTTGATATTTACAAATTGAAACACATCAGCTGACAACTATGATAAATAAATATTTTGATCAGAATCATCAAACAATAATTTAAAAATACTGTATATTGAAATAAAACTGTTCTAAACTAACCAAACTTGCTGTAACATTTAAAAACTCCGTTTAATATTCTCCACTCGCCTTTTCTGTCATCAAACGGAATTTTTAAAGGGTACAGCAAGTTTGGTTGGTTATGTTAGGTTAGCTTAGAACAGTTTTATTTCTTAATCCATAATAGACTATATTTTAGCCTAAAGATCAGCTGTCAATTTGTAATGTATCGTAAAGGAAAACAAAAATATTGAAATATCGAGAAAAAAAATCATCGATAATAATAAATGTTCCCTTTAACAGGAAAGTACCCAAAAATCTATTGCTATTTTTGCTAGTAATTGTTATAATTAAATTTATATGTTTTTGTTCCCTTTAACAGGAAAGTACCCAAAAATCTATTGCTATTTTTGCTAGTAATTGTTGATTATTAAATTTATTTGTTTTTGTTGCGTATGTCTAAGTATCACTAATTTTAAAGTTGTTATTTAATATTAGCCATCTTAACCATAATCATTGCATAACTACATCGATATAATGTTTGTAAACAAATAGTACTTTAGCCTACATAAAAATCGAATGTCCGTTGGAATAAAATAAAACATAATGGTGTGTTACAATTAAATTATCAAACAAGTACGGTATAAGACCAATTTTTGACCGTCCTAATTCCTATAGGCTAGTGAGGTCCAGGAGTGAACAGATCCTGGCACACACAACAAACACTGATCTACGCCAGTAAAATAACATGTTTCAACACAGTGGCGTACGTGACTAAATAAGTTCACACTTAAAACACAATTTATTGTAAAATGTCTGCCGATATTTTAACTTACTGACCATCCAAAATCTCTCTGTGAGTGCAACTAGCCTAGGGAAGAAAGTAAGCATCGTCTATTTTATGTCATAGGTACTAAGGGAATGATAATGTAAAGCTTTTTACCACAATTTATGACTGTAGACAATTTTGTATGAAAAAACTAATCTAAATATATAAAAGGCAAAGCCCTCACTGACTGACTGACTGACTGACTCACTCACTCACTCATCACTAATTCTCCCACTTCCCATTTACCTAGGAGGCTGAAATTCGGTACACCGATTCTTTGGGCATTAAATAGGAAAACTAAGTAGTTTTTATTCTGATCGGGCTTTCGGGCTCCGCCCCAGTGGCTCTAGAGTTTCCCATGTTAACCTTATGATTTTCATACGGTATTTAAAAGGAATTTCTTAACAGCTGTTTCAATTAAACAAGTTGGTTCTGTTCTATGATGTTCAATAGCATTAGTTACAAGGATTACCAACAGGGTGCAGCACTATTATTTTTTTAAATTTATGACTACAGCCAATTTGCAACCAAAAGGTGAGTGAGCGTAGCGAACGAACTTCAACCTGGAAGCGAGTGAGCGTAGCGAACGAGCTAACCTGAAGGTAAGTGAGCGGAGCGAACGAGCTCCAACCTAAAGGTGAGTGAGCGTAGCGAACGAACATCAACCAGGACGTGATTGAGCCATGCGAACGAGCTCACTTGTGAAGTTGAACGGGGCAAAGCCCGCGGGTACAGCTAGTTTTACTAATAAAATAAAATAATCTTTTAAAACCAGGAGTGTTCTGGCTGCACTTTAGTTTACGCCCCACATTTACTCACATACAACAAGTTAGGTTTGGTTAGGTTAGTTTAGAACAGTTTAATTTTATAATCAGCTGATAGTTAATGTATAATAGTAAATGTGGGGCGTAAACTTAAGTGTATCCGTCTTCTTAATCATCAAAACCCACCTTCCTTTTTGATTCCAGCAGTTTGGGTTGATACATCCAAATATGTACAGGGTTCGGTGGTATGGTGACTTTTCAAGTGGCGCATAAATCTGTACAATCAGTGGTAAAGACAATCCACATAGTTGACATAGTGGGTTTGCTGTTGGCTTGTTTTCAACCCAATCCTACAATATAAAAATATATTATTTAACAAATAAAAGGACATAAGTTTTAGGATAGGTAAACTTAAAAGCATAAGTTAGTATTGGTGTATATTTATCGACAAAGTTCATATTATGGATTACTTTGCAAAGACTTGGACTGTTGTAGGTTATTTACTTAACACAACTGTTGCACACAAGTCTACAATAAGCGACGTCTAAGGCAGAACATAAAATGTAATAAAACCTGCCCAGCTTGGCAGCAGAAATTTGACATAGGTAGGCCTATGACTCCAATATTATTTGTATGTTTGTTAAGAAATATTTTTCGAACCTATGACTTCAACTGTTGTTGGTTTGTAAAAAAAAATTTTTCCAAAAGAATTTGTTGGATTTTCGTGTGCAAATCGACCCCTAAACATAAATTTGTATAGGCATATTGGGTATTAATTTAAAGCTCTTATCCTCTAGATGTGCCTTTTGCGGTTTTGGATTATATCTTGTGAAAGCCCTTCGTCCTACAGGCTTTTAAAATTTCAGAGTTTGTGCTGAATTCTGTTGTCAATCATCTGAATTGTTTAAAGTTTATATTTGTTTACATCAAAACAGATTAATACAATTTTCTTTACATCCATACAAAGTGGAGTTATCTGTAGTGGGTGATATTTCAGTGAATTCAAGTAAAATATTGTAATGCTAATTGTATAAAATGTAAAGAACAAAATGACTTAGACTTGGTGTTGTGATAGAATTTTGTGTTTTCATAGTAGGCCTATGTTTTATTGATGTTTTAGGTCATTTAAGTACAATATTGTAATGTTATTTGTTTTAAATTAAAAGAAGAGATTTTGTGTTTTCATAGTATGTTCCATTATTATTTGTAACTTTACTAAGATGCCTTGAAGAAATCGAGCTCACAATGAAAATAGGTACTTTGGTATTATCCGGAGGATACTCTCATAGCGCGCTGCAGCGGTTATGTTATCATAAATATGGTTGTAGAATTTTCCTTGTTTCATTATGAATCAAACTGTACCAGATGAGTCATACTTTCGCCCGCCAAATCCCCTCCAAATAGGCCAAGGTCAGGTCGTTGACTGGAGTGCGGGCATCACCTGTCACTGTGCCTGTATCTGGGCCCCTCTGTGTCTGGGGGGGGGTGGGGGGGGCTGTGTGGGTGTCCTGAGTGATGACTCATCTGGTATCGTTCGATTCACACCGAAACGAGGAAGAAAGTCTTATAAACACATTTATGATAATCCAACCTAACATAACCACCCCAGCGCACTGTATACCTACTTTGCGGAGTAAATGTGACAGAGCGGCAGCGAAGCATTCAACTCAATCCTTGCCGATATCGCTGCCTTCTAAGAGGCAGAACTCAAAGGATGCTCATCGTAATCATGTCAAATTTGGACAGTAAGCCAATTAAAGTATGTTCTTTTAAATTAGGCCTATGTAGTTATTTTTGGTCTCCTGTAAAAAATCCCTCTAAAATAAGTAGCCTCTGGATGATACCAAAGTATACCTGAAAATAATAGGGCACACAAAGCAAATATGGATATGATGAGAAATAATCGTTTTCACCCTATCAACTATATCAAATATATCACAGGTTTTGAAGTCAGGAAGTGACGCAGGCTGCTAGTCTATCTTACATTGTCTGTTTTTACATTAGGATATGTTTACTGTTATGAATTAAGTTATCACTTTTTCCAGTAACTTTGTTAACAGGAAGGATGTCTGCTTTGTAGATTTAAAAATGAAAGATTAACAAGACATGCATTTAGGCCTCTAAGATTAAGAAATAAAAAAGTAAATTCGAATAGGCCTAATCCTATTGTCACAATTAACTTGAGAAATAAGTTAAGTAGGCCTACCGGTAACATGGTTTACCGGCCCTGCTTGGTCAAAGACCAACTTAATAACTTAATCAGGTGTTAAACTATGGAACATTACTAAAATTTTATTTCATGAGGACATACAAAAATGCATTTGTTAACAACTTCGCTGCACTTAAGTTTACGTCCTACATTTACTCACACACTGCAGTTTGGTTAAGGTTCGTTTTAGATTAGAAAAGTTCCATTTTATTATCAGCTGGTAGTTAATGTATAGTGTAAAATAGTAAATTTAGGACGTAAGTTAAACTTAAGTGTAACCAACAACCCTGCTGGACCTGGCTCAGCAAAAAGTACTTTGAACTAATGAATTAATTCATTTATTTGCATTGATAACTTTGTATTAAAATCAATAACAAAGGCCAATTTGTTTCTTATGCAAATATCAATTTACTAATTAGGCTAACAACAACTTTAGTATACTAGCGTGGTGATTTCAAGCATGTGTAGAAAGTTCACCAATAAAATCAATAATCTAACCTAATACTTACAGGCTTTCCACCAACTTTATTGGTCATAAAATTTACAACAGACTTGAACTTCTGAGTTATTTGTTCGTCCTCGAATCCCAAAAATACTTTACACTTATTAGTCGCCATCTGCTTGACAAATTAAAACTAACTAGGCCTAGTGGGTAAAAGCAATTTCTTTTAATTCAAGCATTCTCAGCTCGGACAACAAAATTATCAAAATGTAAAAACTAAACTGAAGAACTGACAACAGTAAAAACAAAACAACTTGGTTGTGGTTGGATTGGACTTGCCAGCCAAGAGCAATTAATTCAATTGCCAGGCGCAGACAGCTCAGTTCAGTGGTAAATCAGCAGGAGCACGAGCAGGACCAGACCAGGAGGAGAAGGGAGGACGCAGCAGCGCAAGCACGACCGACGGATGGGAGGGAGCTGTTATATCAGCTCAGCTGTGCTTAAGAAGGCTGCTAGCTGTCAGCTGTCTGCACTGCATGCTGCAGACATTTTGTGAAAATCATATTTATTTTATTTTGAAATCAAATTTTGTGCATGTTTCTTACCATAAAGCTTACAGCAGTGACCGTTTATGTGGTTTATAACAATGTCGTAGTACTGTACCATAGATAAAACATACTAACTATGACTTTACTTACTAAAAACATAATAATTAACAACTCAAATTTAGTCTATTGCGATTAAAATGGTTAAAATTGTAATGAAATAATAATAACTTTATTAAAACATTGAGAATAAAACATACAGAATTTAAAACCAAAACAATATGAGCTGAACTTCTATATCTGTACATTTAAAGCGGAGCAATATTTTCATAGTTCAGTAACCAAGCTTTCGTAAATACACAAACACCTTTTAGCTGCTTCCAAACAAAACAGCTGTTTCAACCCTACTTGCGACGTTGCCACTTTGAAAGCCGCGGCAGGGAGTTAAAGGCGGCCGTGGATGCACAGGAGTTATGTCCCCCATAGATTTAGGGGGGCACAACCAGAACACCATCACCGGGGTCTGGGGGGGGGTGTAAAATAACCCCTTATAACTTTGTATAAATAACTTGTAAAACCACTTTAGAAAGTAGGTGAAATGTATTTATATTTGGATTTTTATTGTTGGTGGGGCTACAAAATTTAACAATTATGTAATTTTGGGGTGGGGGGGCTATCACCAGATGCCAATTTTCACTGGGCTGTTAATCAATTATGCAACTGACAAAAGGTCGACCTTAAAATGGGTTGTTGGATCATGTAGGATTTGGGCCGTTTCATAAAAAAGCAATACCCCCGCTGCAGCAAACCTGCAGACTAAACAAAGTTTACATTTTTGCCTGTTTAGTCATCGTAGTACAAATGGACACATTACAAATATATGGTATATAAAGTAGGTGAATTCGAAAGGATGGTGTTTTTGGCCCCTGGGGACCTCAAAACAAAAAAGTAAATCAGTATCGGATCGAGATCTGTACCATGAGACCTACGGTAGTAGCGTATTCGTATTCCCTTATATGGGAGATTCGCTAAAATTAAATCGGTCCCGGGTCCAGATCTTACCATGAGTAGGGACTACGGACACGGTAATAGCCTATTTCGGAAATTCGCTAAAACGTAAAAATATTGTAGAACCCCTCCTCCTCTCTCCAAAATCAAATGCAAAATAATAAAAAACATTTCTTCAAATGACTTCTCTTTTTGGATTCTTAAAAAAGGTTTTAGCAAGTTTCCCTATAGGGAAGTAGCTATTACGCTATTACCGCAGGTGGCATGGTAAGACCTAGGCCCAGGACCGATTTACTTTTTCATTTTGTTTTGCTGTCCCCAGAGGCCAAAAACTACAACACCATTCGTTCAAATTTGTATATATATGTACATATATACAGGGTTAGTAAAAAGTCTGGAGACCCCATGTTAATTTCTTAACGACCCATAAAAAACTAAACTCGGTACACCTTAATGGCATATTATGAAGTACTTTTTGGGCATAAGCACCACTTGGTGTACATCCCCAAAATAGGGGATTTTGGGGGAAATTCAAAAATTTCAAATGGTAAAACCCATCGAGCGACCCCTCATTTTGAAGGTCCTAGTAAAAGAAAACCAACAACGCAAACTAAAGAGGTCTCTATCTAAATCCAGTAAAAATGGCAGCCAATTGAAATTCTCAGAAGTTAAATTTAACTTGCAGCTTTCCAAGTCTGGAGACCCCCTGTAAATTTTGTAACGGCTCTACCTAGGAAAACTAAACTCTACACAGCTTTATGGCATGTTATGAAGTACTTGTTGAGCTTAATTGCTACTTGGTTACCAAAACCAAAATGGGGGATTTTGGGGGAAACTCAAACATTTTAAATGTTAAGCCCCATCGAGTGACCCCTCATTTTGAAGGTCGTAATAAAGGAAAATTAACAACGCAAATTATAGGTCTATATCTTAACACAGTAAAATTTGGCAGCCAATTGAATATAAATTTGCAAGTTGAAGTTAATTCTGATTTCAAAAGATTTCAATCAGCTGTCATTTTTTAGTGGATTGATATAGAGACCTCTAGTTTGCGTTGTTGGTTTTATTTTACCAAAGCTTTGAAATGAGGGGTCGCTCGCTGGGTCTTACCATTTGAGATTTTGTAGTTTCCCCCAAAATCCCCCATTTTGGGGATGTATACCAAGGTTGTGCCCAAAAAGTACTTCATAACATGCCATAAAGGTGTGCCGAGTTTAGTTTTTCTAGTATGGGCTGTTAACAAATTAACAGAGGGTCTCCAGACCTTTTACTAACCCTGTATATACATACGTCCGTGAACGTGTTAACTTGTGTATTTTTTTTCTTATTTTGATAAAATTTAGTTTAAAGGTGTAAGGCAAGATAAACTTGAATGAGTTTGTGAACCAGCATGAATGATCGGACCATGGGAACAGCATTTTACAGGGGGTTTTCTCATTTTTAAACCTCAAAACACTAAATTTCCCAATTTCTCTCTAGACCTTTAAAAGCTTAAGAAATATATAATTTAGTATATCAAAGTGTTTTTGTACGGTAATTGGTAACGGAGAAGACTCAAAAAACTGTAAATTTAAAATCCCCATGTTATTCCTATGGAGAATATTGTGAAATGTTGTAGTTTATGGATATATTTTGATCAAACTTGTCAAATTTATTTATTTTATACTAAGCTATTAATATTTTACCAAAAAAAACACACTTTATTAGTTTCCTTGTAGCAGCAAACCTAGTTACTGGTTAAAACTAATGTTTTTTAAATAGATTTAATTGAAAATCAAGTCAGTTGAATGGAAATTTGCTTTAGTCTGCAGGTTTGCTGCGGCGAGGGTATTTTTCTCTAGTCAAGCCTTTCTCCTTTTTGTTCCACTTTTTCCTCGTTATTTCAAGGAATATTTCATAAGATCTTATATTCTTGCTGTATGTTTTGCTTTTTGAGGTATGCCAACTACATCATAAAAGTTACATCCTTGACCTACCAGTTGACATTTTTGGGTCGCTAGCAGCAGGGGTCGCATCTGGCACGACACCATTTCATGGCGAATCAATTGTGCTAATCTCTTTGATTAACACATTCAAATATTGCCTGATCTACAAACAAAATGAAAAATCTTTAGTTGGGGTTATTTGATCCAGGATAATAATTATACTTTATGGTTTGAAATTAAACACCAATCTAGTATTATTACTGTATTTTAATTAACTACTTAACACACAAAACAAAATAACACAATCACAAAATTTCCAATTTGAAAGTTTTAGTTGGCAGTGGGTATAAGTTAATGATATATCTACCATGTTACTGCATTAAATATCGAAAGGAAGTCAAGTACTTTAATTTGATAAGTTCAAATTTTAAACAGGGTGTTATTATTATCATACTTCATACAACAAAATCTAACTATGCTACAAATGTAATGTAATAAGTACAAATGGCATTGCATTTCAATACAATATGGCACTTAAAATACTTGTAGCCTATGTTACAGTATTTTAATAATAGACCTTGAATAACCGGGTTGTATATCCGGGTATATCTACCAGTTCAGAAGTGAGCTGCTGCGATTGGTTTTTCTAGCCACTGATAGTTTAAAATTTCACGGAAGGTAAAATAATCATCTCATGACAGCTTGTTTACACATTTTGTGTACTTAAATAATTGGCAGCTTTTGCTTGAGAAAAAAATTCTAGAACAGCACCTCTTGGTTTAATCTTTGTCTATGGATAGAGCTGGACATCCCATCCCCAAGTTAAAACTGTCACCAGTTTTTTCATAGTTGTGTTGAGCCATCCCAGCAGAGTGCGCGAAGGTAAATTATTACTGGTTTCTTTCGAGCACGCCAAGTTTAAACAAAATCAAACTAATAACGACTTTAGTATCTAAAACCTAAAAGTCAATGGTTCATTGCACACTGAAACTTCACAATCACTTAGTACATTCTTCCTTAATGTATTAACACAACCAAATTAAAAATTATTGCTAACATATAGGTACTATCCTGTATATATCATCCTGAACCTTCTCTTTACAAAGCATTTGATAAATTTGTCACTAAAAACCTTTGCATGCACAATATGTGATATACATTATTTAAAGTGAGTGAAATAGCAATACATATTTCATAAAAAAGAAAACCTTGCATTTACTATAAATTTGCAATAACTGTACATATTAAATACACTCCCAAATGAAAACATTGATACTAGTACAGTACTTGCTTTTAATAACAGCATTAAAATAAATGGGGTGTGTCTTGATTTTGATAGACTAAACTATCTGCTTGAAAATACTTAAATAAAGAAATTTTGTCATTAAATTCAAGTAAAATAGAAATGTATCATTGTAATGTTAAATAACAAAAATCAATGTTCCTAGTTTTAAATATCGATCTCTTTTTCATATCCAGTTGAACAAAAATCGATGGGAAAAATAGTCTCAAAGACTAAATTTTATTTTCTCACTATCATGACAGAGGTAAATTATATACTCTCCCTCAGCAATCCATATAGGAAATAGTGAAATTTGACCAATATTTTCAGCTCCCCCCCCCCCAATGTCACATACTACTGGGTACATCTCATCAATGTATGCACAAAAGTGCTCTTAGGATTGAACAATAACGCAAGACGAATCACTAGGGGTCTTTACACAAGTGTGCAAGCTAAAACGTCCGCTAGGAATAATCAGTCTTCTAAGAAGATCACAAAAGTGTAAATCTACAGTAAACCAGTAAAAGTTCTGTAAAATTGAAATCACAACTGAGTGGCTGACGATATAAAGTTGTGACAATAAACAATCTTGTCGATTGTTTAAAGTTCGTCGTGAGATGATGAATGCCGTTTAACAAACTCTATCAAATCCTCCAAAACTCTTGAACCGTTGTATTCTGAGACTTTGACTCCATTTTTGTAAAGAAATAGTGTTGGATATCCCTCAACCTGGAAAAACAATACTGTTTTATGGACAATTCTAAAAACATTACAACACACAGAGCATTTAATGTTTTAAAAAATGTGTATGAAGAAGTGACAAGCGTTATAGAACAGGAAGTATTGATACTTTTTACTACTTTTATTTATTTATGATAAAAATGCATTTAAATAAAAATATTCACCCTAACTAGAAGGCCTATGACAATGTCACCATTGGTTATTTGTTATGTAATTGTCAATCATCCTAATTACGTAAGGAATGTCAGCTGTCACTGATATCTATTTTTGAATGTAATATTAAGATAGGTGCAATTCATGGAATAATAAATGCCAAATTCACAGAAAGGCTTATAAGTTTCTCAACCATCACAATAGAATAGCTCAAGTCTAGGAATTGATCATTTGTTGCCAATATAGGCCTACCTCTTGATCGTTGCAAAGGTCTTTGTTTTCCTCTAGAGTGCAGTCGACATGCGCTATCTTCACTTTACCTTCGCTAGACAAGGTCTTTGCCAATTCTTCCCAAGTAGGAGCCAGCCTTTTACAATGCCCGCACCTTACAGAAAACAACAAACATAGTATTGAAATTTTGTTTTTTAATAATTGCAAGACTTTCTTGATTTGATTGAACGATCAAAACATCACTAACAAACCTTTAAAGGATTATTCAAACAGACTAATGTTGTTTCCTTTAGCATAAAAGTACACGCAATTTTAAAATTGTTCCCAAATCAAGCAAAAAATAATTCAGTATAAAGAATTATTTAATTATATCTTACCATGGAGCAAAGAACTTGACGAATGTTACACCATTTTCAATGCTTGAGTAGAAATTGCCTTCAGTAAGAGCAACAACAGATTTTTCAGAATCAGCAGTGTCTTCGGTTTTCTCTGTTTTCCTCTGCTCATTGGGCTTCAACATCTGGGCAACATATTCTTGCAGACTTCCAAGAGACCGTTCTCCTTGGTAAGCATCGACCTGGAGCAGGTTAAATGAAAATTATAACGTGTTAGACAGTAGCGGGTCCAAGCAGGGCTACAGGGGCTCAATCCCCCTTCCCCATTGGACCCTGAATAGTGAATTTAAGCATACATTTTGTCTTAAAAATGTAACAAAGGTTATTGAACACAGTCTAGACGTTAAACTGGCTTTAGAAAATCATCAAACGGCTTTGAAAAAAAAATTTCCAGGGAGAGGACCCCTGGATCTCCCTTCTTTCTTGTGGAGGAGAAACAAAATGAATGTTGGAAAATTGAAGTTAAGGGGAAACGGTAAACAACTGACTATTAAAAACACAAACGGCAGTGGAAGCACTCTGCAGATAAAAAGGGGCAATAGTATCATGGCAGTTAGGATGATTTGATATGACTGATTACTAGATATAAAATTACAAAACTCTTTACAGCCCCAGGGATGGAGTTATTTTTTTTAACGGGTTGGTAGACAGCTTGAAAATAAACCTTAAGGTTTGAAACCTTGGTTACAGACTAAAACATGGATCATTGACAGTACAAAAGGAATTTAACCTATTTAATTTGAACTTACCTGTTCTCCATTCTGTATCCACAGAAGTGTTGGGTAGGACATGACGTTGAACATGGAGCAAACTTTCTGACTCTGTGTACAATCTATCTTGGCGACAGTAACACCGTCTTTCACACTGACAGCCAGTTCATGCCAAGTGGGAGCCAGGTTCTGAAAGTTATATATCCTAGTTAGATACTTTGTTAAATACAAATTTTATGGAAAACTCTGATCATTTAATCAATGTGTTTTTGTTTTAAGCTATTTCCTATATAGGGAATGAACTATTACTGAAAGTAGTTCAGTACAACCTAGACCGGGACGAATTTACTTTTCATTTTGACGTCCTCAGTGCCTTTTACGCCATATTTAAAAATTTGTATTTACAATAACATATACATATGGGTGTCAGCGATAACTGAAGTAACTTTGGATCGATTTTGATGAAATAGGGCTGGATTAAGTTGGCAAATTAGCAAGATCTGGTAATGGGATGGGCAACTGAAGTGAACTTAAGTTTGCATGGATATGAATTTGGTGTGAAATTTCTCAAAAAATTGTTTTTTTCTAAATTTTACATTTAGGCCCAACACATTCAGGCCTGATTTTCAGGTGATTGTACATACAGAGAAGTGTGACAGCTGGTAGTGAATCAGAACATGTTAAAAATGTCTAATTTTCGTTACAACCACCGGGTAGAGCTTACAAAACAAATATCTTTATATTTTGAACTTTATATTATTCTCTTTAGGATACTTAGAACTGATAAGTTAGGCTAGGAACCTACGCTTGTCTGTATGTTCTCCCACATACCACACAGTTCATAAACTTCTCATACCTTTATACATTTTCCAGCTACCCCTTATGTCATTGTCATAATACAAATGGATACCTGTGGCTGGGTTGAAGAGTATTACTTCAACCGTAGTAATAGAATCTTAATTGCCATTTCATTAAATAAAATGGTGTCATACATGAGACAATGGATTATTTTCATACCTTTTTCTGTTACAGCAGTGATGTTATTTTTTTCAGTTATAATTAGCTACGTTATTTGTGATCGTGTTTGTGAACAGAAAAAGCGGTTATATTGAAGACATACTTAAAGCCTTGAATAGATTTTGCAGTGAGAAAATTAATTAGGTAGATTGATAGCTTTTAACCTGTTTAAATTTTTTTTTACCTTTTTTGCTATCTACCCTTGAGGAGGTAAGATAATCAAAAGTATAATATTTAGGCTGCTGTACCTGGCAATGGCTGCACCATGGGGCAAAGAATTTGACAAAGTGGTTTCCTTGTGATACGTGGTCCAGGAATGTATCGTCCGTCAACTCTACAGGGCCGACTGTGACCCCTTCAGTGGTGGTGCTGGGCAGCTAGTAGACATTAAAATTTGTATTAGTTTTAGATATATTTTAATATCAAAATACCCAATTCAATTCCATAATATGTTTTAGCGAATTTACTTAGGCCTATAGGGCATAAGCTATTACCGGAGATCTCATAGTAAGACTTGGACCCAGGAACGATTTTTTTTTTTTTTGTTTTGAGGCCCCCGGAGGCCAAAAACACCATCCGTTCAAATTCATATACATTTCATATATATATATATATATATATATATATAAGTTATATCCGTTAGCACGATAACTCGAGCAAAAATGATACGATTTTTATGAAATTCTGTATGAACTTGTAAACCTACTCTACATTTATTTGAACAAATTCACAAACCAGCATGATCCGACCATGGAAACGGGGGGGTATTATGTGGTAAAAATGGGTTTTTTCCATTTTTAACCATAAAAACTAAAATTTTTGCAATTTCTTCCTAAACCACTTTTTAGAACTTAAATTTATTTATTTCATCCTATACTATTGACATTGACGTATTGTCAAGAAACCACTTTTTACCTTCCCTGTAGCAGCAAGTCTAAGCACTTGTTAAATCTAATGTTATTTAAATTGGGAATAAATATGTCATATTTATAGAAATATTTTAGTAAAAATGTGATCAGACAAGTTGAAATTTGCTTAGTGTGCAGGTTTGCTGAAGCGGGGGTATTTTTTAATTAGCAGTTTAAAAAATTAACACTGATGTAAAGAGACTTGCTTCTAAATAAATTGCATGTGGTACAAAATATACATTAAAAATAACGCAACAAAAGTTGTTGAGGATTACAAATTTGTCACGAATGTAATGGTTCAGATTAAACAAGTTTTAGAATTTTCGCTGGATGGAATTAAAAAAGACCTATATATAAACATTTTACGTATCGGCAACATCTAAATATCTCTACAGTAGAACCAGTTAACTTTTTCAAATAAAAAATTAATAAAAACCTACAATAACAAAATCTACACAAATATGTTTTGGAATGATCATTAAAATTACACAACTAAAATGTCCTGAACAATACAACCCCTGTAAACCCTAAATTATTTGAATACTACATACATAGGCATAGCCTACACATTATCCCTTTCAGTGCTAGGCCAATAATTCATATTTTGTAAGACTTTTTTGTTTGCCTTTTAATTCCATTACCTGTTGTTGAATTTTAACTGTCATGTTGTCACTATTTTATTAATTAGGCTAATTTTGAATAATAACACAATAAGAAAATATATAAGAAAGATAAATCCCGGTATTTGTAGTAAACATTAAATAAAACTTAGTTTTTGTTGTAATTTTTCTGGTTTTCCTATAAATTGTTATGTTCTGATAGCATTATTTGAAACCAAAATCTCATAAAATCAAAAGACATATGGTTTACAATGTAATATTGAATTTAACCTTGATTTAGTTGGACGAGGTTATCGTAATATAGCCATTTTAGGGAAACTAATGTTTTGCAGCAAAGTCTCAGGAACACATTTATGATCGCTGTTGTGTTTAAACTAAAAGATTTCATCTAAATAGTCCGTGACTAACTGGTGCTGCTACCTAATAACGCATTGAACAACCATCTGTAGCGCTATCTGTTCGCAATCGGTGGCGACAGCTTAAATACCGGTTTTTGACTCCTCAGTCTTCAAGCACAGATAGCCGAGAAGGCTAGGGCGTGTGTCACTTGGCCAGTGGCATTCGTCTGCTCGGGTTCGAATTCCGTCCTGTGTGGCAAATAATTGGTGACCTGTGTGTTTGTAGCGATATACTACAACCACTGGGGCATAGTGAGGTGTTCATAATCCTTGGTTTAGACATACACCTCGAAATCATCGGATTGGGCGAATCTTTTAGCTAAGTGGTTGTTAGTGTATCCTATGAACATGCAGGTCACCAATGGCCGTTTTGCTATTTTTTTTAAATAACCTTCCTATCTATATCCCTTAGAGATTTTTTAAAACAACGATATATCGTTTCATAGCACTGAAAGGGTTAATGGAAAGAAACTACACAATGTAGGTTACATAAAATAAATTAATATCAATGTCACCTATTTACTAGTACAGCACCAAAAACTGCTCATTATAATTAAACTAGTTGCTCTGCATGTGCTTCGCAACGGGCATTGGAAATAAGAAAATAATCCTTAAGCCTCGTCTAATCCAAACTGCAGAATATCCGCTGTTTTTTTTATGTAAATCGATTTGGTCGACGTACATGTCATAAACACAAATACATATGAGCTATTTTTTCTAGTTAAAACCTTTTAAACAATGTAGTTTTTCAAAGTAACAAAACAAAACATTTTTTAACATTTTTTTCTCACAAAAGTTCATGTTCCTTATTATAAGATGTATAGATGTATATGTTTTATAAGATAAAACGCTACAAATATCTAATCAACGTAGGCAACTTACATCAGCTTCGTCACCAAGTTCTTCATTTATAAACCTCTTCAGGGTCGGAACGTCTCTACTGCCTCTGAACTTCTTCCCCTCAACTGCTCCAGTTTTATACAATTTTAATCTGTGAAAAAATTCACATTTTGGGATATTTGGGAATATTGAAATCCTGGATAAAAGAGAACAACTTTAGGCTGGTTAAAATTTGATAATGGCCGTCTTTTTTTAGCTTTACCTAATGAATGCTTAAGGAGTGGAAAGACCCGTCTAACTTACTCACCGAAGGAATTTTTGGATGATAGGATATAACAAGTAGGCCTACTTTATGTTCTCATGATACTATTGTAGCTATTAAAGAGAATGGACAATAAAGAAATTTTTATTATGGAAACATAACTGGGCACGGCTTTTATCAGCCTGGCTATTTGAAAATCTCTGTACAAAGGTAAGTAAAAAGAAAAAAAGATGGCATCTCAATATTCATCATTGTCAATATACCGGTTACGTCTCTTCTAAAAATATGATCTTGAAGACCATAAAAATATTGATTTTAATATTTCAAAAATGGCCACCATTTCCCAAAATGACAGAACATTTTAAATTAAGAAAACTATGTATTTTAGAATGTAGATGCAATTTTAAGACTTATTTACCGGTACTCTTAAAATTTTCTCTCTAAACTTAATAATTTAGGAGCTACATTGCACAGAATGTACACTGCAAGGCATTTTTCCTTAGTTTTAACACGCTGTAACTCCTAATGAGTAACTTTAGAGAGAAAAATTCCAAGAATAAAAACGTTTAAAAATGGCATTTACTTTCTAAAAACTGCATAAAATATAAGGTCTTCCATAAGAAAATCAAAGTTGGCGGCCATATTGGAAAAATGGCGACAAAAATTATTTTTTCAACTTGACCAAAATTTTAAAGTAAAAAATCCAAGGCAGTTACAATAAACATTTTTTGATATTATAAATGTGAAAGTTTGTGTGTGTGTTTGTTTGTTTGTTTGTTTGTTTTAAGTTCAATCACACATTAACTACTGGACGGATTAAGCTGAAATTTGGCATGATGATAGCTCATATTCCCGATTAACATATAGGCATATTCTTATATCAAAAATTCTTTAGGGCTCCACCCCAGTAGCTCTGTAGCAAGGCCACACTAAAAAACCGGCCGTAATGCACGTTAAGCACGACGTCACAATAGAAGACGGCTATGACGTAGTGTTTGCCATTTGTGAACAGCTGCTTGTTTTAATCTTTTTTTGGTAAATAATACGTCATTGCCGTCTTCTATCGTGACGTCATGCTTGACGAGCATTACGGCCTGTTTTTTTAGTGTGGCCTTGTCTGTAGTTCCCCATGTTAACCTTATTAGTATTCATATTTAAAGGAATTAAAAAAATTTAGTCAGCTGTTTCAACTAAAAAAGTTTGTTCTATGATATGTATTAAACGTATTAAAAAGTTATAAGATTTACCAACAGGGTGCAGCACTATTACTTTTGCATTTATGAAAACAGCTAATTTGAACAAAGCAGGCTACTGTAAGGCCTCGTTCACACGTATCGACTTTCTGCCGTGCGCCGTGTACGGCACGACGTCGTGTTTATTCAATAGCATTGCTGTAAATGCAACTGTTCACACGTATCGACCACGGCACCGCGCCGTCCACGGCGGCCGTGGACATCACGACCTTCTTCAAGCGACGACGTGGCGTCGCGCCGTACTCGACCTCTTGAACACAATGGTCTCTTATGGATGCGTTCACACAGGTCGACGTGGGGCCGTCCCGACTCAGTCTAGCGCATGCGCAGACATGGTTTATTTCAGTGTCTTCCTGGATTCGAGACGTGTAGTACATCCATCAAAAAAGGCGGAATATTCCACTTTTGTAATAAAATTGTAAAATAATATAAAACATTAGTTTTTAAACAGTGAAGTCATGCCTTAAGATGGGCCACAAAGCTCGTTTGTAAAGATTAACCAGATTTATTTGGAAATGAAGTCAGCTTACATAATTTGTATGATACATAAAATACACCTTTTAGCGCAAAACCTGAGAGTAGGGCCTCGGGTACGATACGAGCGGCGAGCGGCAACCTGAGCGGCACGTAAGCGGCGGTGGTGGCTACGATACAAGCGGCACTTTTATAACGCTCATGATATTTCCCCAGTTTTAAGAGTCAGTTTAGTCGAAAATGGTAAACTATGCTTACCTGCAAGACGTATTGCAACTATTGTTGCTATCTGACAATTGTTTGTCTTTAAAGAAAAACTTAGTTTTTAGAAAAACCTTAACCCTAACTTTGTTCCATACTTTTATGGTGACTGAAGTGTCTTAAAACTTCCGTGCTGGTCATTCCATAAAAATTCCCTGGACCGCACCTCACGTATCGAGCCGTATCGCATGTTTGCTGCTGTTTCTTTGTCATTTTAGGCCTAACTGAAGCATGATTCACCTGAGCGGCGAGCGGCGTTTTCGCGAAAATTGTTTTTGACTTGGAACCATGACCGGCACTGAGCGGTGCCGCTCACCGCCGCTCGCCACATCGTGGTCACCCTCAACAAATTTACACGCAACTAAATGAGACCCGATGTCCGAGGTTTTTCTCAAACTGACTCATAAAACAGGGGAAATTTGGTGAGCGTTATAAATGTGCCGCTTGTATCGTAGCCACCACCACCGCTTCCGTGCCGCTAAGGTTGCCGCTCGCCACTCGTATCGTATCCGAGGCCTAAGTGTTCTGTTTCTTTGAATAAGCCTCCTTGCACTTGTACTAACAGTTCATCGAATGAGGAAACTGACATTCGAAAAAATAATTATAAAATTTACATTCGTTCTTTCTTAGAAACAGAAAAGAACAGAAAAGAAGAACGAGTGCTCCTATTGGTCTTTGCACGTTCATAGGGTCTACCCACTTTAGCTTATTACGCCTCCTTTTGCTTTGACGATGTAGCAAGTATAAAAATAGCATACTTGTTTGGTTATCCATTTTGACAGACTGAAGAAATGTGGCAAGAAGTCATTTTCGCACGGCCCAAGTCGTGTTGTTCACGGCGCGAGTCGTGTGGTCCACGGCGCGGTTCAGGAATGCACGGCGAAAAGTCGATACGTGTGAACGAGGCCTAATAGTCAATGAGAACTGCCAAAGTAGGATTGTTTACAGTTATGTTTATGTTTTTAATTGCATGAATAATTTGTGAAATTTCGCGAATTTTTAATAATTTATTTCTCTTTATTGTTTAGGTGAAGTGGTAGAACATTAAGAGGCTATCGTAGATGTGTAATACTATAACAAAGCGTAAATTTCAAGAAGCAAATTTGGTCAAATTGTGTCCTCCCCCATTGCAAACGCTGAGTTAGAGTATAACTGCAATAAGCATTTTATACTTTACTAGCTGGTCCGACAGACTTCGTCCTGTCCTAATGTGGTTTGATGTCAAATGCTCGTTCATTTTCAAGATGAGCTCGTTCACATGGCCTTTAGGTTAGAGCTCGTTCGCTGCGCTCACTTGCCTTCAGGTTAGCTCGTTCGCTACGCTCACTTACCGTTTGGTTGCAAATTAGCTGTTGTCATAAATTAAAAATAAATAACAATGCTGCACCCTGTTGGTAATCCTTGTAACTTTAATGCTATTGAACATCATAGAAGAGAACCAACTTGTTTATAATTGAAACAGCTGTTAAGATTCATTAATTCCTTTTAAATATGAAAAATCATAAGGTTAACATGGGAAACTCCAGAGCCACTGGGACGGAGCCCGAAAGCCCGGTCAGAATAAAAACTACTTAGTTTTCCTATTTAATGCCCAAAGAATCGGTGTACCGAATTTCAACCTTCAGGTAAACTAGCTGTACCCGCGGGCTTTGCCCCGTTTAACTTCATAAGTGAGCTCGTTCGCACGTCCTGGTTGAAGTTCCTCACCTTTACGTTGGAGCTCATTTGCTGCGTTCACTTGCCTTCAGGTTAGCTCGTTCGCTACGCTCAGGGAAGTGGAAGAATTAGTGATGAGTGAACAAACAGCTGGCACATTTATATCAATCACCGTGTATTTAATATGCTACAGATTTTTTCTTGTGGCGTAAAACTATTTGAGTAGGGTTGCCATATCCCCGGAGATTACCGGATTTTGACGTTCAAAATTTAGCTACGGGAGATTTTTACAAAAAGTGAGAAATCTCCTCTTTTTTACTCTCTATTACAATACATTGTATCACGGCACTTTTGAAATAAATTAAATGTTAGTGTTCACAAATATTGTTATGCAATGACTGAAAAATGTGATTCTTGTACTCTCTATTAAAGTTTTTTTTATTCTTTAGTTTCACTTTGGCCAGTAACGTCCTTAGTTTATCGTCAGTTTCATTGCTCAAAGGCCTACTCGCATCTGCCGGCCAGTCCAAGTCCGAAGGTATCCGTGTTCACTACCAGAGCCAAACTGAGTCTAGCAGACAGAGAGCGTTTTGTTTACTTTATTTGTTATTTTTAGTGAGGTGACAAGCAAGGTGGAAATTTTATGCTTCACGTACCATATTTGAATATTGACATTGTAGCACGAATATTGAACAGAAACGGTATGGATTAATAAACATAAACAAATGATATCACTGACCCGAATGTCAATAGGCCTACTAATAGCCGTAACAACTGGTTTGGACGTTTTTTGACAGTTCCGTTTAAAGTTTAAATATTAATAAAACCGTGTTTACTTTCGGGCCAGTGACATAATTTGTTTATGTGTATGACCCATACCGTTTCCGTTTTATAATTTTTATTTATGCTATGTAGGTATACAATTTTGCTAGCCCGTAAATTTTTACTTACTGAAGTGGGGGCCGCCAGCGTGCCAGCTAAAATCTTCTCTTTTTAAAAATTACCATATGGCAACCCTAAATTTGAGAGAGCAGATGGGTGTAGAAACTTAGTAGAGGTGTCTAAAGAAAGGTCTTAGTCTGTAGATGAGCCATCAAAAGAGAAACAAGATAAATTCCCTTGGGGCTCTGCCCCAGAGGCCTTTTAAGTTTCCTCCCCAGATTTGTTTACGTTATGACCATATGGATATTTTACACTACCTACTTTTTAATGAAACCGCTGTTAATGTATTTTCAACCCCTGTTATATGCAGTTATAGGCTTTGCAAAGGAAATATAAGCCTAGGTCTCGTGAGACGAGCGACACACATATGCTACTTTAGATCATAATGCAAACAATACAACATTTTTAGGGGGATACCGTACATTGATAAAACCATGTAATGTTTAGGCCTACTCATAATAAAACCCCATCTCTTTCATGTAGGCCTAGTCTTTGACCCCTTACTTCAGAATGGTCAATGCCGCAGCTGCAAGAGAGGACCCTGGAGGGAAGTGCATAAACAATATTCCTTCAAGACTGCGAGAGTAAACAAAGTATTTAAAAATATTTTTTATGCCAGTTTATAAATACAGTAAAATGTTGGATAGTAAAAAATAATGATAAATGCCTCAACTTATCCTCACCAACTCAACTTATCCTACATATAAAAATAAGCAATTTATAGATAGCTAGTAGATGAGAGTAGCCACAGAAGTCAAAGCAATGTGTTGTCCAGAAAATTAAAAACAAAGGATGTGGGCTTAACTTACGTTGGATATCCAGTGATGTCTTGATTTGAACACAGTTCTGTATGAATCGTACAATCGACTTTGGCAACAGCTATATTGGAACTCTCACTTAAATCTTTGGCCAAATCCTCCCACACTGGAGAAAATGTCTTGCAATGTGAACACCTGGAAATATTCGATAAATATAGGCATAGACAAAAGTCTATGATATAAGTAACCTAAATTACATATTGATTAGCAGAGTCGGTGCAGTTACGGAAAATAATAACATCTTTCTAGACAACTCAATAACACTGTAAAAATCATTGTATGCAATTTATTACTAATAATTTGTATTTGTATTATTAATAATATTGTATTTGTATTGAATTGTTACTAATATTTTGTATCTAACCATTTATTGCTAATACAGTACATGGTGAATACCGTATGTCTGTCTCTGACTGTACTGTATGACCGAATCAATTCTAGTTGCTTTGCAACAATAAAAGATTATTATTATTAGCAGTAGCAAATAACTTAAGCTAGCTACTAAAGAAAAGGTATTTCATTGGCTATTGATTTTGACCAGCCATCATCAATATAAACCTAAATCTAATAGGTAATAAATAACAGGACGGTAGTAAACATGAATGTTTCTGGCCCTTGGAATATTTTCTTAGGACAATATAAGGTTTTACGTACCTCAGTCAAAAAGTCCAACGATTAAAATTGCTCAGTAGAGTACTGTACATGTTTTGTTGTGTAACATTTTCAAAGCTTGCAACTTCTCAAAATCAAAACAAGCACGACACAAGAATGAAAACGGTAACTTATCCATACACACATATTTAGATAGTGCTATCATAATAATAGGTACTGATTTATTCCGCAAGGTGTTAGTACAAATTTCTGCTAAATCAGTATTATCATGATAGCACTATCTAAATGTTTGTGTATATGTACCGTTTTTATGTCCGTGTCGTGTTTGTTTTGAGTTTTTGACGAGTTGCAATCTTTTAAATTGTTGGCCTCGCAACGAAACATGTAAGATACTGAGGAATCTTAATGCTTGGACTATATGACGGAGGTATGTAAAACCTACTACTTTAATAACAGTAGGTCCTATGGAAGTATAAATATATTGAACAGTGTTAGACGATGTTATATATTTCCATCCGAAAACTCTCTTTGTTCTTAAATTTGTGAATGCACATGGCTATATGGATGGAAAAACATGTGGGCTAACTACTGTAATAAAGTGACATATATTGTACCTACTAGTTACTGTGTTGAAAAGGTGTGTGATATTTAGCCAGAATAAGTGCAAAAACTAGTACCAGAGTAACAATAAGTTAACTTATGGCAAAAATGTAAACGTAAGGCCTATAGGTTTTGTAGGGGGGAAAGAGTCTGGGTGTTCAATAAATTAGATGCTGGCTAGACTCCTGGAGTGATAAAATCAAGGACTGGTAGGCTGTTCTACTAAGTGATGGTTGGTGGCATTTAATAGAGAAAGCATGCAGAGCAACAAAGATAAAGAAGTGGGGATTAATCTGAAAGGGAAAATAATGTACAATCAGATTGTATGCTTTAGGCCTACAATATTCTACAATACCTATATAATGTAAATAGGCTAAGACACAATCCATCCAACACCAACCTTGTTGGTCAAAGATGGAGAAACCAAGTAGGCCTAGGCCTATCTCTTGTTGGAAAAAATAAAACATAGTCTGAATCCATTGTAATTATCGATTGTTACATTCGATATAAAAGTTTGGCTTTTGGTTATCGATCAGATTCAAAATGGTTTAACTTATGTTCGAAAATACGATGAAGTCGGATATCATGTTTCGCCCAGTCAATTAGTCAATACAGTCAATTAGCCTATATTTTTAATAGGCTACATAAATTCAAGCAAAACACAGCAGGAAATTCTACTTACCAAGGAGCAAAAAACATGACGAAGTTATTTCTCTTATTGACTTCACTCATAAAATCTTCTTTGGAATAAGTTTTAACAAAGTCATCTTTTTGAGCAACACATGTCAGGCTTAGGAAAATCGAAGTAACAGAAACTGTGCCGATCAATCTATATAAATTAACTAATTTATTCATTTTAAAATGTATAAATCTTTTCTAGGCTAGCGTCATATACTGTTTTGCAACAATTAGGTTAGGTTGTATGAAATAATAAATTAATGTAGCCTAGGCCTATGTAACACAGTGATAGTGGAGGTTTATTTTGTAAAAATAAAAAATTAAATAACAACGCTAATAACTGTAACCTTGACAGTGACAGTTATATTTCAAAACGATGTGATGATTGCGAATCACTAATCAGACAAAAAACAATCACTACCAAGGTAAATTTGCATGTAACGACAAAACACAAAACAAAACCACAAGAAGAGGGCAAAATGACAGAAGCAGAAGCTTTGAAGCTTAATCTACTAAGATAAAAGTTAGTGAGCAGAAGAAAAAAGGTCAAGCTGCCGGCTTTAATATTTTATTAGAGCTGCCACCATATTCAGAACTTAAGCAAATCTGTTTATAGATTTTTTCCTCGAGAATGCAAAATTATAAAATAATATTGCTTATGGAGGGAAATTATATTCTTTGAACAGCCTTGAACAAAATGCCTTTAAATCAATAATTCAAGTTTGGCTACCAAAATACTTCGAATACCTATTTCATAAGCGATAATAACGATAACTATTATTAAAATACTTGTTTTCAAATCAAGGGAAATAAAATAATGTATAAACTGAAATTAAAATAATGGAGATGTTTCTAATATTAACACAAATGAACAAGTTTATAAACAAATTCTGTTTATTTATCAAACAAATAAAAATACATTTTTTGGGATTTGATAATACCATTGACTTAGATCATGGCCACCTTTAACTCCAGGCCGCGGCCTTCGAAGTGGCAACGTCAGTAGTGGCAAGGTAGTTTGTCCTTAGGAGAAGATGAATTTCAGAGTGCCCACCATCAGGACTAGGGAGCAGCGTTTATTTGAGCTGGAGCATGCAGGTAGAAGTTACCTCCAGAACAGCCCTATCCCAAGGCTTATGCGTTCCGGCAACTACGTCTCGGCTTCAGTGGACCTCTTTCATGACAGCCTAGCAGCCGTCAGGCGTTCTGCGGCCGCATCCTGGTCCCCTGCCAATGAAACTTAGTGTCTCCCGTTGTTATTATATTCGTAATTTGCTATCTTTTTCGTTTTATGTAAATTTAATCATGTTTGAGTTATGTTATCGTTTGTTTAACACTGTTTTGTTGGATCAAATATTTACTATTGTTATTGCTTTTTCATATTCTATTTCGACTTCATTGTTATATTATAGCTTTCCTAGCCAAAGATTTACCTTGCTTTTGCTGATCGATTGTTCAACTGTATGCCATTGCCAGTCCAAATTCTTACCTTTGTTATTGCTTTTTCACAATTACTTTGTACTTCATTGTTAATTATTGCTTTCCTAGTCATGATTATATTTCCTGTTACCAATGTTGCTCTGATCCTGCCATAGATTTAAGTTAGTTGTTAAGTTTTCTGTTAAAATGCATGTTGTTACCACATAGGCTTCTTGTATCTACAGTGTAAATTGGTGATATATGCCGTTGGAATAAATAAATAAATAAACGTCGCAAGTGGGTTGTAACAGCTGTTTTGTTTAGAAGCTTTGCTAATGGTATTAAGTTTGTGTATTTACGAAAGATTGGTTAATGGACTATGACAATATTGACTCCGCTTAAAATGTACAGATATAGATTTTTAATTCATATTGGTTCGGTTTTCAATTCTGTATGTTTTATTCTCAATATTTTAATAAATTTATGTTCATAAATTTAAATTTAAATCAATAAAGTGCGAATTAATGAGCTGATATCACCTGTGTGCCATGTTATCTTAAGGGACGTCTGTCACTAAACAACACCACTTGCGACGTTGCCAATTCTACCAAGCCGTGGTCTGTGGTTAAAGGTGGCCGGGCCTGTAGTTAAAGGTGGCCGTGCTTAGATAATACAGACTAACCAACACAAGTAGACTTCTCATCCCAGTGTAAATTTTGAAGCACGTTTTTCGTGTCTAGTTCATGTACGTGACACTGGGTGCTAGTTTCGACGAAACTTTGTTTCTATTATTTAAGAGTTAATTTCTTGATTTGTGCTTTACTGTTTGGTTATATAACTAGGGGACAATTTATTGTTTATGATTAGATCATATTATTTGGTTAAACGAGGTTTTAAATGGCTGTATTAACGGGAAACAAATTGTAAACAAAACACGACCTCTACATAAACCGTACAGAACTAACAATAAAATTGTCTAAGGGAGTATGTTTTATCTATGATAATACTATCGTGACACTTTTTAACCGACTTCCCCACTACCAACAAAAGGAGGAGGTTCTCAATTTGTCTGTGGCGATGTTTTTTTTTTCTATGTATGTTCACCAATTTCTCTGTGATTCTTTTACCGATCAGTGTGGTTCCACCACCAAAATAACCAGGAGAGTTTCTATTTGGTACCTTATATATTATGTTTAAGTATAATATTAGTTTCGGTGAAAAATTCTGAAAACCTTAAATATTCAACATTTATTTTGTTTACATTTGTGCAGATTGTTTACATTTGTGCAGAGAAGGCAATAAATAATAATAACATTCCTACAGCTGTTAGTTGAAACCATTTAAATGAAGCTACAGACAATTCTTCATGAAACAGTTGCTTCTGATCAATAAACTATTTCTTGCCATGGAGCCTAAATTAATTACATTGAGAAAAATGCTTTTTGTTTTGGTTACTGTTGTATTAAGTCTGTTCTTCTAGTCATATGATTTATGTGTGTTTAAATATCTTTTGTTGACAGATGATTTTTGTAAACATGTTTTTGTAAACATTGGTTTAGTTTTGAAATAGAGTTTGTTGAAACAAGATGTGTGTTTAATATTCTTGGATTAGAAATAGAACAGTTACTATAGAAAATGTATTTTAACGTTTGACCTGATTTGTGTATACAGTAATTCTGTTTTTAGTATTGAATATTCTGACTTACAAAAACATATATGTTTCAGTGAATAGCTGTATGATATCGACAAATAAAGGTGTATTGTGAAAACCAAAGCATTTGTAAAACAGGTCTAAATATAAATTAAATGCAATTATTCCTTACACGACCTAAGAAGTGTGACAGTGCATAATCGTCAATTGTCTTAAAAGTGTTAAATATTTTAATTACTAAACATGCATTTGCAGATGTGGAATGTTTATTAATATTCTCTACACAGTTACTATTATCATATCAGTACTATTATGCCTGCTTCGGAAAGTCCTAGGGGAAGATGATTTGCAATTTCGACTAGGCTATATCTTGATCAAACAAAACCCCCTACATGACTTACACCACTTTTAGCTGAACCAATCTTTCATATAATATTTTCCAAAGGTACTATACGTGTTAACGACCAATTTTCCACTTTTGAGAGATTGTTTAGTGCTGGTAGCTGAGGAATAACTTTCATATTGTTCCAAAAGGCTTGAGACGTTACTGTATTTCTTTTTATAATGTAGAAGTACACCGATTGCAGGAAACGATGATGTCTGACATTTCAATGTATCTAGAAAAGACAATTAGTTTTTCATAAGGCCTAATGTAATGGACAACTCTTTCTTTCTTAAGGAATATCTAAAAATGTTTATTTTCATTGCAGGAAACGATGATGTCTGACATTTCAATGTATCTAGAAAAGACAATTAGTTTTTCATCAGGCCTAATGTAATGGACAACTCTTTCTTTCTTAAGGAATATCTAAAAATGTTTATTTTCATAACCAATGACTATGTAACCTCAACAGGTGACTCAAGCAGTTTTAAAATAATTATTGTTCTGTGGAACTTTTGATTGTTTCAAACAGTTTTGCTTATCAAAAAACCTCAAGTGATTGATATATAAAAAAATATACAGTCACTAAAAATCATGAAATAATTTCTTTTTGTAAAAAAATACAACCGACTTCAAACGCTCTAAAAAGAATGAAATAATTTCAATAAAGTAAACTTTTGTATTAGGCAAGCTCACGTATTTCAAGTCGGCGCGGCTCAAACTGCAAATATGATTGAAATTAAATATTGTGTGTGTATTTTGAAAATCAATAAATTGTAGCTGGATAACATAAATATATAAAAAACATACTGAACTGTTTTGTTTTATATTAATGGAAATATTTTCTTGTATTTTATGTTTACTTCAGAATAAATGCATTATGAAAATAACACACACAAATGTTCTATATGAATAGGAAAATAATTTAGTTTGATATTATAATAGGGAAAAGAAGCTAGTTTAGTATTAAAACGTTACTTTTCAAAGTTATAAACATTTAAATGCATTATAATCTTTTTAAAGATACTCGTTAATGCCACTATAATGCCGATCTCTGATTACGGTAATAAAATAACACTTAACGCATAACTACGAAAAACACATGCAGATTAACACCTTTAGTTATAGATAGTCACCTGCAATATGGACACCCTCTTTCAATTTTGTATCAAAAATCATCATAGAGCCGCGCCGACTTAAAATATGTGAGCTTGCCTAATACAAAAGTTTACTTTATTGAAATTATTTCATTCTTTTTAGAGCGTTTGAAGTCGGTTGTATTTTTTTACAAAAAGAAATTATATGCATATCAGTTTCTATTTCCATGTTGGCAGACTTGAATCCATTTTCCGTTGTTGTGATCAAGTCATCATCAACTCTGACTGAGAGGAGAACTCTGCTCTGCCTTCTTTTTCTTCGGATTTCGTGTGATCCACTTCCTCTGCAGAAGCGTGTCGTGTTATTTATTGCTTAAAACAACTAATCACAATGGTAAGGACGATTTTTACTACTTTAATTTTAACTAAAATATTTAAAAGTTAATTCAGCGTCTTTAAGAATATTCAGAGAAGTGTTAGTGTTCATTGGTTAATTACCTATGTTTGGTTGACACGTGCATTGTTAGGTTAGGCTTTAGGCTATGCAACTTTGGTCCACACTTTGCACATTAGATTGATTTATTTTGATCTTAAATCTGTTAACTATAGATTTAAATTAATATTATTTCTTTCTAAACCCAGCCGAAGTTTCTTATATTTAATTTAGTTCAAAAATCTTATCTAGATGCTGAACAATAATAGGTAGGCCTTAGCATTGTTTCTATGTTCAGAAGTGATAACTTAATGGTCTAGTCTTATTTATAGGCCCAATTGAATTTGCAATTTAGGTCTAAATGTAACCATAGCCTATACTAATTTTACTTCTGTAAGTTAACACACTAAAACATGTTAAATTAAGTGCGCCGGGCCCTGTGGTAAAGGCACCGCTGGGATGGGGCGGGAAATGTCAGCCTCGTACAGGGAAGGTTGTGTCTGTTTCTGCAGTTTGGGTACAGTTTCTTAACTGGGCTACATTAATATTGATTGAAACTATCATATTGAAAATATTGATTAGGCCTAATAATCGATATTTTAAAATAGGCGTATATCTATTATAAAATTAAACTATCATAACCTAACCTAACCAACCAAACTTGCTGATGATGAAAAAATTCGTATGAAAGTTTACTAATCGAATCGATAGTTTCAATCAATATTAGCGTAGCCCAGTTAAGAAACTGTACCCGCCAGTTTTATACTTCAATCCAGTAGCCTATAACTTGTTTCAGATCAGACTACACAGTGCTAACTTATTATATTTGTTTGTTTTAGTGTGTAAGCCTAGCTAGTGGCTTAACACCTTGAGTGTGGCCGTTCCTGAAATTCCCTCTTGCATTACCCTGAGTTATCCCTATCAAATTGATACCTTGATATAATTGATATCAATTGATAGGCCTACCTATCAAATGGTGCGTTCTTCCGCACCTGAAGCATTTAGGCCTGGGTCTAGGTCTGGTTTGCACTCCGTAACCTGCACTGAATGTGCAATCACAACAAATTTTTATTAGCTGTAGACCTACCCTGAAATTAGGCTAGAGTTTGGTCTACTTAACTTATTTATTTATGGGTCATTCCACATCAATTCAACCAACGAAAAATGATTTACTCACCCACCATCTCAGAATTTGATGAAACTTGGCTTGTTTGTTCTAACCATAAAGATAAGTCACCATACCAAATTTTAACTTAATATCTCTTACCGTTTTTTTTTTATAGCCCTTTAAAGTTTTTCATTTCCGCTAGTGCTAACCATCCGATGTCGCGGAATAAAACTCGCTTACTTTTAGAAAATAATTTATAACTTTTATGTTTACTGAACAATCTTCATGAAAATTCATGTACTTATTCTTTAAGACATGAGGATTCCAGAAAAAAATACTAATACCTCTTAGTTTAATGTAATAAGGCTGAAAAAAATTTCTAGTTTGTACCTATGAATTTTTAAAACGCGGAGACATAGTTTAGCGTAAAATGGATTATCTAGGAAAGGGTATGAGATAAACACAAAAACCTTTTTTTACTAATAAGTTAATCCTTATTAAATTAGCTATCAGATGCTGCAAAAAAATTCATGGGGTTTTAATACCTTCATTGTTTTTTATTAAGTTAAATATCAAATTATTAATTTTTTTTTTCGTTTCATTTACAGAACTATTTAAGAATTTTAAGGAATTAAAACTTGCCCTATACACTATTACAAAATGTTTCTAATTTACTAAATTAATTTAGTCATATTTCAACCTCTTAACTGTTTCAAAAACTTCATTTTATATTGAAATAAAAATAAAATAATATATAAAATAATTTTTAGTAATTTAAAATATATGAACTATAAGATACTGCCTTTGAGCTGTCTAAGCAAGTAACAACAGGCTTTCCTAGTCAGCACACTTTGGAGCCTGAGCTTCCTGAGCAAGTGGCAACAGGTTTTTTTCAAGTCTTAACATGCAATTCTATTGTTGTACTGTTATTGGCAGGACTTTGCTCAGTCAGTATCTGGTGCTCCTTGATGCAACATAAAACATTGTAGTGCAAGTGTTTAGTGCAGTATTGTGCAAGATAATTTATATAGTGTGGTTTATCTTACAGTATTATTTTAATATAAGTTATGTATGAAACTAGTGTTTGTTTTTGTATTTTTAAAAGAAAATTTATATTATACTAAGATATAAAATGGAAGTTAAATGCAGCATAGGGGATTTAACATTAACTGAATGCCACAAAACAAGTTTCATAAAAAATAAAGGTACCCAAAATGTCAATAACTTATCTGAAGAAGAAATAAATCTAATAAAGCTAAGAACTGGGAAAGAGGATGATGGTGGTACTATTTGTTTTCACCATAAATATTATTTTTTGAATAAATTTGAATTTTTACAAAAGAAATGCTGCGATCCATACAAGAAACATAAGAAACCCATAACAAAAACACTGAGAGTAGTTACTGTACAGCAAAGCAAAGTATTAATTTTAAAGGGGTTCAAAATAAAACCAGGAGAAAAACTATGTGCCTCTTGTCGAAAAACATTGTTTAAAGCTCAAAACACAACAGATGAATGTACTGATAGTGATAGTGAACAGTGTGAAGATTGTGATGTGCATTACCCTGATTTACAAAAAGAAGAGGTAATTTCTTCTTTAAATACATCATTAACAGAAGTAGGTTGCTCACCCTTGAAACTTCATGCTCTAAATGAACACAGTAAGCCAAAATATGCCAAAGAAAAAATTGAAAAATTACAGGAAAGCGTGAAAAGAAAAATTGAGTTGGTTCTTGACGTTGAAGTACCTGAAGATAAAAGAACTTTGGAAAAGACTGTTGAAGAAAAGGCTGCAGATATGGACAAGTTAATCAATAACATAAAGGATGATCTACATTTGACACAGAAGAAGAAAACACAGATTCAGCTACTCACTATACCAGCTTCATTAAATTGGTCAAGGCAACGAATAAAAGACACTTTTCAGGTTTCAGACTATTCTGTGAGACAAGCACAGAAACTGTTTAGAGAAAAAGGCTTGTTAGCAGAACCAGACTCAAAAAGAGGAAAACATCTTAAACCTGAAGTAGTTGAGTTGGTAAAACAATATTACCAAAGTGACGAACAGTCTAGGGTTTTACCTGGAATGAAAGATGTCGTGAGCATAGGAAAAAAACAATATGAAAGAAAGAGGTTAGTTTTAGGGAATCTACATGAAATTTACTCAAATTTTAAAAAAAGATCATCCAGAAATTAAAGTGGGTTTTTCAAAGTTCTGTTCACTCCGCCCAAAATGGTGTATCTTGGCTGGTGCCAGCGGCACCCACTCAGTATGTGTATGTACTATACACCAGAATGTGATCTTAATGATCCATGCTGCACACTTCGATGAAAGCTACAAAGATCTAACAAAAATGTTGGTGTGTGAAAACCCAAGTCGTGAGTGTATGTTACGACACTGTAACCTTTGCCCTCCTAAAGAAAATCTAACAAGCTTTTTGCTAACAAAATTTGAAGATTATGATGAAGACGACAACATTGAATTTAATCAGTGGATATCAACTGACAGAACCCAAATGATAACTCAAACAGCAAAAGTTGAAGACTTCATTGAAGATCTATCATCAAAATTGGAGAAACTTATTCCCCACTCCTTCATTGCAAAGTCACAATCAAAATATTTTAAAATCCTAAAAGAATCCTCTGATGCAAACGATGCTGTAGTTTCAATGGACTTCAGTGAAAATTACTCTTTCACAATACAGGATGAAGCCCAGGGATACCACTGGACATCCGACTCGTGTACTATACATCCTATCATAATTAATCTAACTAGTGCAACAGGTGAAAGGTTAGTCTTATCTCTCTGTATAATATCTGATGATATGAAGCATGACGTTTCTATGGTGTACAAAATCCAAGAAATTGTGACAGAATTCATCAAAGAAAAGTATTCACATGTAACTGAAATCCATTATTTCAGTGTCGGATGTGCCGGCCAATATAAGAATAAGTTCAATTTTTTTAACCTGTGCCTCCATGAAAAAGATTTTAATATAAAGGCACAATGGTCATTTTTTGCTACAAGTCACGGCAAAACCGAATGTGATGGAATTGGAGGCACAGTAAAAAGATTAGCCAGAAAGGAAAGTTTACAGAGGCCTCTCGGAGATCAGATTCTGACTCCTTCACATTTGTTTGATTTTTGTAAATCAAAAATTACCAAAGTTAATTTTTTTTTTTTATTTCCAAAGATGATATGTGTAACGTTTGTTCTTTCTTGGAAAAACGCTTTGAAGACGTGCAAACAGTCCCAGGAACACGAAGTTTCCACAACTTCAAGCCACTAGACAGTTCAGGGAACTTGGAAACAAGGAGGATTTCTAGTGATGAGAAACCTACTCTCTTGTTTAACTTAAACAGTAAATCAACACCGATTGTGGCAGAAGAACATTTAAGCCCATCAAGCTACGTGGCTTGTATATATGACGATCGATGGTACTTCGGAGTGATAACTGAAGTTAATATAGAAGAATGTGATGTGACAGTACAGTTTATGCATCCTGCAGGGCCATCCCCATCATTTCAATGGCCTAAGCGCGAGGACATTTGCCCTGTACCAGTTCCGCATGTACTGGCAATTGTTGATCCACCAGACACTGCTACAGGAAGAACATACAAATTTCCAGAAAAGTGTATGAGATCAATTGAAGAGAAATTTTCAAAACTCCATTAACTTAAATTATTTGTACATATCTACTGAATGTAATTAAGATTCTAATAAATGAAATATTCATGTACGTACAAGACATTATTGTTCCTAATTTTAATTATTATGGTGTTAAGTTAGTATAAAATATAAGTTCTTGAGACAGTTATGGGTTAAAATATCATGATTTTAATTTAGTACTAATTAATCATTATCAAGTTCTTTATAACAGTGTTTAAGTCTAGGTCATTTTAATTCCTTGAAATCCTTATAGTTCTGTAAAATAAAACGGAAAAAAAATTAATAATTTGATATTTAACTTAATAAAAAACAATGAAGGTATTAAAACCCCATGAATTTTTTTGCAGCATCTGATAGCTAATTTAATAAGGATTATTAGTAAAAAAAGGTTTTTGTGTTAATCTCATACCCTTTCCTAGATAATCCATTTTACGCTAAACTATGTCTCCGCGTTTTAAAAATTCATAGGTACAAACTAGGATTTTTTTTCAGCCTTATTACATTAAACTAAGAGGTATTAGTATTTTTTTCTGGAATCCTCATGTCTTAAAGAATAAGTACATGAATTTTCATGAAGATTGTTCAGTAAACATAAAAGTTATAAATTATTTTCTAAAAGTAAGCGAGTTTTATTCCGCGACATCGGATGGTTAGCACTAGCGGAAATGAAAAACTTTGAAGGGCTATAAAAAAAAAAACGGTAAGAGGTATTGAGTTAAAATTTGGTATGGTGACTTATCTTTATGGTTAGAACAAACAAGCCAAGTTTCATCAAATTCTGAGATGGTGGGTGAGATGGCCTGGTTGAACTGATATGGAATTACCCTTATTTATTTTATTTATTTATGGACAAACCATTAACTTACATACAGAATACGATTTTTGTGATACAACTATTGAGTTGATGAGTGGACTAATAACAAAAATAAGATAGACTTAATGGGTACTTTCCTGTTAAGGGGAACATTAATTATTATCGATGATTTCTTTTCGATGTATCAATATTTTTGTTTTCCTTTAAGTTATGATCCATATTCCATCTGTTTTAATATCTTCAAACACATTACAGACAGACAGACAAATAGTAATAGGCTTACAGTAGCAAATATGTCTAAGTTAAACTTGGTTAAATAACAGAGTTATTGAGTTATGTGGTTATACTAGCGTATTAGAGAATAGGATTAAGAACCAATCTTGTTTAGGCAAAAATAATCTACAGCCTATAAGGTAGCCTATATTGGATAAAGAAATTAAACTATTCTAAACTAACCTAATATAACCAACCAAACTTGCTGTAGGCTAAGTTACGCATTAAGGATACGCCTGCCATTTGACGTGCCGCAGCGAACATGTTAAGACAGGCAAACATGTCATACAGGGTTTCTCAACCTTTCAAATTCTCCAATTGTATCCGACACACATTGTAAAATAATGGACATTGCTTTGACCTCTTTGGATTTGTGTTCAATTTTCACCTTTCTTTGAATCCATGTTTGCTAAATTGAAACCTTCAACCCTGAACTTCCTGTTAGAAAAGTTAGTGTTGCTGGGCTGCGGAAAGTTGAGGTTGTTAGTAGACATCTTCATATATTTTCTTCTCTTCAATTGGGCTTTACTCTTATCTAATCTTTAAAGACCTGGTCCTATAACCTGTAGAAAATATTTTCAGTGGTTTCCAAATAAAACTTTGGTAACAGCTAAGTTAATATTCACTTCTTTAATACCTCATTTTGCATAACAGACGGCATAAGACATAACTGGGAGCTCGTTAAGCGTAATGTTATTGAAATAGATAGCCTATTTGAAAATCAAATTGGGCAAATGGAAATTCGTTTAGTCTGCTGCGGTGGGGGTATTTCAAGTTATTTTATTGCTATATTTGTAATTCTACGACAATGTCAAAAAAATTGATATTGGAGAAAATTTGGTCAGGTTATTTTAAAGTAATTTTTGGGTTGTCAAGTTATCGGGAAAGTTTAAATTTTTCATGGTTTTTAAAAGACTAATTATCTTCAAAGAAATGTCAAATATTCAACAATTAATAACTTGAAAAATAAAACGTGACCAGTAATAAAGACAAAGCCAGCTAGACGTGCCCCCTGTCAGCTGTTAAACGTTAATGAGGTTTTACTGTAAATATTTGTGACACCACAGTCACATTACAATATAACACCTTTCAATTTCAAACATGCATAGGCCTAATATAGCTTTATCAAAGACAATATCATAAATAAGTAGTGGCCTATAATATATAGATGTATGCAGAGAGCTAAAAATAAATAAGCTGATTATAGCCTAATATATTTAAACCTACTACCTTTTTCAGACATTTGATGAAGACCACTGTATGTTTAATTTAGAGAGGTTTGTAAAGTAATAGGTCTGCTGAACAATAGTTAGTAAGTTTTAACCAATCTCAATGATAACAGACCAAGAAGCGAAGGAATGGAGGACGATCCAAGCATGGCCGTGGTCATGTCAACCCTGTCCGATGCACAAACTGCGCTCGGTGTGTGCCCAAAGACAAGGCTATCAAGAAGTTTGTCATCCGTAACATTGTTGAAGCCGCTGCTGTCAGAGATATCACTGAGGCCAGTGTATATTCCTGTGAGTTTTTTTCTGTATACACTATGATTAGTTTAACATTTAGATCAAGCATTTATATAAGCTTAAATCTGTTTTGAAGTATGTTTCTGTACCGTAGTTCTAGCCTATGTAGGTTGGGGTATTGTTACTTACTATTTTATGTTATAACTTTACCAATTTTCAAACAATTTTAACCATACAAAACTATTCATTGTAGGCCCAACTCTGCTAGCTAATATTAAGAAAATGTAAGCAAATCGGAAAATTGCCTTAAAAAAAATATTAAAATTTAGTTTGTTTTGATGCCTCCTAGGCTTTAACTAGACTTTGAACACAAATGTCAAAATGATAAAAGGTCTTTCAGCTTTTCTTAGATCAATATAAATACTATAAGAACAGAAATACAAATTAGGCTAATGTAATTTAAATTTTGCAAAATTTAATGCAGCATGTTTAAATTTACTATGTTAAATTTAATGTCTGCATGGAGGTAAGAGGACATTTCCTTTTGGAGGAGAAGAAATGCATGTCTGATGCAACTCTTATTTATCCATTACTCGTAGGCTACTGATGTGTTTGTCAGGTAAAGATGGTGTATAATTGAGCTGCCAAACAGAAGAAAAAATCAAATTTGCCTAAACAGCTGAGCCGTGCACAAGTCGATTCCACTGTGGTTGTAAAGCGGTTGTACAGTTGATATTTTCTTTGCAGCATACCAACTGCCGAAGCTCTACGCAAAGCTTCACTACTGCGTATCTTGCGCCATCCATTCCAAGGTGGTGAGGAACAGGTCGAAGGCAGACAGGAAGATCAGAACACCTCCTGCACGTAACTTCCCCAGGGTAAGTAGGTCATTAGTTTTAACGCTAAGTCATGTTGGAGAGAACACTAAACGCTTTCAAGGTATAGCAGTCAAGTCAAGTCAAGTCGTCAAATAAATCTTTATTCAAACATACAACAAAGTGTACATAAATGCGTCTTAATCTTAAACTATAACTAATACTAAAACCATTTTCCTGATCCATTTTGTTTTTTTTATTTTTTTACATATTTACATGTTTATTTACATATTTGAACATAGTGCAGTAAATTCTTCAAAATTATAAAACTCTCCACTAATTAGAAAATTCTTAAGCCTTTTTTTGAACTTATTTCCGTTTTCCTCATTTCTGATGCTACAAGGGAGGGAATGAAAAAATGTAACCCCAATATAATCAGGACTTTCTTTAAATTTTTCTTTTTTATGCTTTTTAATTATAAAATTTTGTTTGTGTCTAGTATTGTAAGTATGTACATCTTGCTGTCTTTGCAGTTGCGACTCCCGGCTTTTAACATATAATATAGTCTTATATATATATAGAGGCTGTAAACTGTAAAGAATTCTAATTCTTTGAAACGATTTTTACATGATTCATTTTCATTTAAATTAAGGATGCACCTTATGGCCTCTTTTTGTAAATGTAAAATTTCATTTAAGTTAGATTTATTTGTTCCACCATAAATTTCAATGCCATAAGCAATATGGGAGTGTATATTTGAATAATAAACCACACGCAAAATTTCTTTACTGCAAAGGGGATATAGTCGTCTTAAAGTAAAAATACCGGAGCTAATTTTATTACATATTTTATTGACATGTGAGGTCCACTTTAGTGTACTGTCCAAGGTTAGACCTAAAAATTTGGTTTCACATGCAAAATTTTCAAATATCTTTTCGCCAAACTTTTTACATTCAAATTTGATAAAGGTTGTTTTGTTTTCATTAAGTAAAAGGTTTTTTTCATTTAGGTAATCTCCAATTATTTTGAGCGAATCTTTCATTTTTATTTCAAGAAGTTCAATATTCTTTTCATGTATAGACATACTTATGTCATCTGCATACAAGCAGAGGGCATTGTTTTCTACCCGTTCAGATAAATGTTTTGGCATCCCTCCCAAGTAGCACAGGAACAGGAATGGACCCAACACAGATCCCTGAGGAACAGAATACTTAACTTCCCTAACATTAGATCTAACATTGTACATCTTATTTCCATCTAAATACCCAATGTTAACAAACTGTTGGCGGCCCTCTAAATAAGATTTTATCCAGTCCAGTTCTTTACCACTAATTCCATATGCTCTGAGTTTTTGCAGTAACTTTAAATGATTCACGCTATCAAAAGCCTTAGACATATCTAAAAAGGCGCCAACAACATAATTGTCCTCATCCAACTTATGTAATACATTTTCAATATAAGAAATTAGAGCTGTAGTAGTAGATTTATTTTTTCTATATCCATGCTGTTCTTGATCTAATAAGTGGTTATTTTCAAAATAATCTACTAGTTGAAAAAGTAAACTTTTTTCAAATAGCTTTGATAGAGCAGGTTGAATTGCCGATGGTCTATAGTTTTGCGGATCTTTTTTATCACCTTTTTTATATACTGGAATTATTTTTGATATTTTTAGTTGAGCGGGAAAAACGCCTGTTATTAGTGATGTATTAATCACATGTAAAAGTGGCTTTAACAAAACAGATTTTGATTCTTTAATAATTTTGATTGGAATTTCATCATAACCGGATGACCATTTAGGTTTTATTGAATCAATTATGGATGTCAAAATTGATTCATCGATGGTTTGACACCTAAATTTTATGTTTAAAATACTTTGATCAGAATGTTGTTGGGTTTTCTTTAATTTTGGTAAAACATTTTTGTCAACCATCTCAGCAAAATTATCATTTAAGATGTTTGCGACAGCATATGGTTCTTCTATTTTTTTGCCGTTATGTTTGAGTGAAATATTACTATGACATCTTTCTTTTTTACTTTTTGTTTCAGTGTTCACAATTTTCCAAACAGTTTTGTTAACATTGGTAGAATTTCTAATTTTATTGTCAAAATGGGTTTTTTTCTTAAGTTCTATCATATTTTTGTATCTCTTCTTGTGTTCCTTAATATAATTCTTCAATGCTATGTTACTTCTATCATCTCTATATAAGTCATGTTCTGCAATTATTTCATGACGCTCATTGATAATTTCATCATCAATCCATCCATTATTTACATTACTGGAAACTATTTTTGTTTTAGGGAAATGCAAATTGAAGTAATATTTTAAAATGTTATAGAAATAAGTAAATTTGTCTTCCACATTACAGTTATAAAGTTTTGTCCAATCCTCTTTGGAAAGGTCATAAATGAAAAGGTTAATGCTCTCTTGTTTATACCTCCTTTCATACTTATGTATTTTAAGATTTAAATTGTTTTTTGTACTTTTTGAACTGAGGATTTTAAAAAGTTGTCCATCATGATCTGACAATGCTGTAATTAAACATTCTACTTCAAAAAAATTGTTATCTAAATTAGTAATAAAATTATCAATGGCAGATAAACTCTTTTCAGCAACTCTAGTTGGAATTTTAATTGTATATTTAAAACCATGCATCTGCAAAACATTAACAAACTTCTTTTTCTTATTGTCTTCTCTCAAAACATCAATATTAAAATCACCCCCCAATAAAATTTTTTTGTCAGTTTTACTTAAAATTTTCAAAAGTTCACTTAGTTTTTCCAAATATATATCAACGTCTTGTGATGGTGTTCTATATACCCCAGCCACTAAAAATTTTTCTTTGCCTGCTTTAATTTCTGTTACACAAGATTCAAAGATTTTATCTTGATTAAGCGCCTGTAATGAACTTAGCATTATATTTTTGAATTCAATTTTTTCTGACACCAAAATTAATACCCCCCCTCCCCCGAAATCTGTTCTAGTGTACCAGGTCGAAACTTGATACCCTGGTATTTTGAGTTTTGTTATTTCATGTTGGTTTAATTTATGTTCAGTCAAAATTATAATATGTGGCTTTAATTCTTCAATTGTGATAATTAATGAGTCAATTCTAGTTGCTAGACATTGTATGTTTTGATGGAAGACAGATATACTACATGATTTCTTATCATTATTGATCTTAGAAGTTAATTCTAAAGATTTAGGTACTACACTCACTTTGCTACCAGAAATGGCCATGCCTGGGAGTTTAAAAAGTGACTTGTGGAGGTCTGATTACCAATATCATAGTTAAAACCCATCTTGCAGATCCCAGATATTGACCACAATTGAAGCAAAACACCACGACAACTTTTTATATAAATTTTTTTTTTACTTGAAGTTTACTTGTAAGCACTCAATAAAATCTAATTAAATAATTTATAACAAGGAGTTGCCATGAGCTTAAATTGCTGTTCCTAAACTTCAATATCAATCCTAAGAAATCATTTCTCTAACTGACCAAGATCAAAATTATATTGTAGTTTTTATTAGTTAACTTTTTCTTTTTCTTTGGTTTAGCCTAAATTGTTGTTTGTTATCCTTTGTTTCAGCTTGCTTGATTGAGCAAGAAGGATGTAATTTAATTAATTAATTGCCTTTATATGTATTACTCGCTCTTCAAAAGTTTCAGATTCTACTAGGCCTGGAGGAATTAAAAAATAGCTTAAGTGTGTTAAGTTAAATCATAAAAAATCTAGAATCAAAATCATTAAAAATCTTAACACTACATTGGTAAAGCCTCTACTTTAAACAACCTCATTGATCTTTTTGGTATTGTAAATATCAGATTGACCATCTTAAGATTTGATAATGTATGTGTCATGGATGAATTCTATTACCTTACAAATATCCTGTAGACCCCCTTCCTTCTGTTTCAACTTACTTCATGGTGTTTTTTGCAGGACATGATGCGCCAGGGAGGTCAGCAGGTTAGGAAGTAATTTTTTATGTAATAACGATTAAAAAAACACCTTTAAACATGACTTTTATTTGTGTCCTCTCCACCATATTGTAAAGAGATTAAAGTGAGTTTAATTTATAAACTTATTTTCTTTCAATCAATTAATTTATTCTGCATAAAAATTAGCTGAAATTTAAATATTATAAGTTTCCACTCGCCTTCAAAGAAATTAGCAACACTCCCAAGTAAACTTAATTAGGTGAAGTGGTGTAATTGAGATCAGGAAATGACATAATTCATTTTTGAAGTAATGTAGGGAATAAAGTTACTAACCCATAGCACAGAAAACATACTACTTTAACCCAGAATGCCAACCGCATGGTAAAAAGAGCGTTAAGTACTTTAAGAGAGTGCATCGCAACGCTGGTGGCGCTACCTACGAATTGACAGGCAAAGCTCTCTCAAAGTACTTAACGCTTTTTACCATGCGGTTGGCATTCTGAGTTGTAGTATTATGTTTTCTGTGCCCATAGTAATAAAAATTAACACACCTATTTCCATGGTTTCCATGGTTCTCTACAATTATATTTTTCCTAAATTGTATCATTACTAAAATTATTTTTTTTAAATGACAGTTAGTGATCCCAGTTACCCCTTCATACTGCCCAACAAATGGAATCACTGCTGAAAAATCCCATAAGAGCCTATGTATTAGTAAGTAGGGCTATTAAAATATGCTCTGAAAACCCATCTTTTCAGAACATATTTTATAAATTTTTTATCTTTGACCTTTAAGAAGCTACAAACATTTTTCGGAAGATTAGCTGAGTTAAAAATTTTAGGAATAATTTATTTTAAAAATTGCAACCCCAAGCCACTGAATTTCTGGAGGCGCGGCCAGCCGTGTGTATATTTACACTCAGTTTGTAAATAGGTAGGCCTATCCCATTTAAGTCAATGCTTATGTAACGTAGCCCATTGTGATAAAGGCCTAAACTTGGAATTTTAAAACAATAATCCTAAAAATTCTAATATTAATTAATAGCATACTGAAAAATAATACCGTTTGGGAAATTGTTTTTATAATATTAATTTTTATTAGTGGATTTGAATAGTTTTTAGATTTTTTGGGTGTGAAAAAGGCTCTGATATTGCAATCATGGAAAATGTCTTCAAAATTTTTGGTACAAAAATTAAAAATATAGCTAGCTACAATAGACAAAGGGAAAGGATTTAATTTAATTAAAAAAGAAATTTGATAATAGATTTTTACTTTCTCCCCCTATACCATAGTATATGGAGAAAGTATTGTTTTCGTCAAAATTTTCGAGTTTGAGTTTTGAGTGGATATATCCGTTTTGGGTCCCCCTGGACCCAAAAAAGTGGTTTTCAAAGTGATGTCTGTGTGTCTGGATGTGTACAGAGCTAGGGACTACACCTGTGGTCCGATTTCGATGAAATTTGGTATGTAGGTTCTAATCCATGGTATCTCCAGGCGTTTTTTTCATTTTTTTGAAATTTTGATTTTTAATGGGGATTTTTCCTTAAAAACCCATAAAAAAAACGGAAAAATAGGATTTTCTCGAAAATGGCCCGAACGATTTTGATAAAAATTTAGTATGTTGTAGCCCTTTAAATTCTGAACAAAATGGTACACATCCCATTTCTGTAAAAATTACGGTTCAAAAGTTATGGTAAATTATGTTATTTTCCCATAAAAACCCCATAAAATAACGAAAAATAGGATTTTAGAAAAAAATCCGGTTTTATTTTAACATAGTATGTTATGGTCCTTAAAATTTTGATAGTTTTTTCATTTTTAAAAATGTTTTTATTTTTAATGGGAATTTTTCCATAAAACCCCATAAAATAACGGAAAAATAGGATTTTCCCAAAAACGGCCCGAACGACTTTGATAAAAATGAAGTATGTTATAGTCCTTTATATTCTGAAGAAAACGGCACAAATCCCATTCCTGTAAAAATTACGGTTCAAAAGTTATTGTAAATTATGTTATTTTCCCCATAAAAACCCCATAAAATAACGGATAATTAGGATTTTCTCAAAAATGGCATGAACAATTTTGATAAAAATGTAGTATGTTATAGTCCTTAAATTCTGAACAAAATTTTACAAATCCCATTTCCGGATATGACGTTGTTGACAAACTTTATGGGAGAAAGTATGTGTCAGAATGCTGATACCGTTTATTTTAAATAGGCCTAAGTGTTACCCCTGTGGAAATTGGAAATCAAATAGTTTCAAGAGCAGACTTCTCTTCCAATATTCATATTGGCAAGCTGTCTTGTTAGAAAGTGAATATTCCTATTTTCGTGTAAAGCTTATTTTTGAGCGAATGCTTAGCCTTTAAAAGTAAGAAGGCACATGCAGAAGCTTTTTCCGCATCACAAAATCAATCACATAATTTTACCTATGACCGTTTCAGTTCAGTTCTTAGAATTGAAAAGTTTCACATAACAGCATAGTTTACTTTCATAACAGCATACAGTGTGGTAGAAAAGTCCCGGAACGGTTAAATATTTTAAAAAATAATGCAGATAGAGCTAAAATACTTGGTACAAAGTTACAGGGCATAAAACTCTATTTTAACACATATTCAGTGATTCAATAACTCTTCAGGGGGACGTCCCACAAGGAGTCAGAAGAAAATCTTAAATGGAAGCATGGGTCAATACATCAAATGCACATCAAATTAAAGGTTCAACTTAAAGGTTCACTGTATAGTTCAACACTGGTAAAATTGTAATGATTCGAACTTCCAACTAATCAGCTGTTCAGGCCAATTTAATTGTTGAGTGGTGTAATTAGTGTTTGGTATTGGTACAATGTTTTGCTGCATCTGTCAGTGGCAATAAGAGGTTATAAACTGAAACATAACCTCTCTTAGAAGTTATGAGTAGAGTAGTGATTTATAGTAATTAATACTTTGTACTTCGTAGGTAAAGTAGCGTACGCAACTAGTGTTAACGACGCTCGTAGAAGTTTTTACTTCTCGTCAAGGCCCGTACCTTAAATTTTTTACTTGTGTCGTTAGCACTATCTTTACGCAATCGTTGTGTAAACTACTATTTCAGGTCAATTCTAACAAACTATTTATGAGTAATATTTCAAAAACCACAATGACTAATGAGTTTTTTTTAAATAGTTAAGTGGTTTTAAAGCTCGTTGTTAGGGGAGAGAGGTTGTGTGCGTGGATTTTCTGCACTATGAAGTAATTATTATGTTAATAGAAAAAGTTATTTCGTAATAAAATAACCATGTAACAGAATAATCATATTTTAGAAGATTTGTACATTTTGTTGAAAACAAATTTTATTATTCATGGTTTAAATTACAATGTTTTTACTCTTTAGATAAGTTCTTGTCCTTGAAGTTTTGAAATAATAAAGGATCAAGTTTAATATAATGTATTCCTCTATGTTAAATATTTGTTGGTTTTAACGATAAGATGCCATAGTTTAAGATACTGTCATATTAAAATACTATTTTTGAAAATATCAATTGCTTTTGTGGCTGAAAGACAATCGATTTAGATCATAAAAAAATTCAATATGTAAATGAATTTGTAAGAAATGAAATAAAATGTAGATAAGACACTTAGAAACCCACCACAGACCACAACTTAATCAGACTCACATCTCGGATTGAACCAGGAGGAAAGTTGGGTGTAGCTAAACATTGTCTTGAGGGATTTCAGGAATGAGGCGTGCCAAGTAGACAGCGGGAGATGACTAGCAATGCCAATTAAGTAGGTTTTTTTGGACAAAAAACGGTCTAAGAGTTAAAGAAGATTCAGTCAAGTAGTGAAAAAAAAAACGAGTACTAAACCACTAAAACCACCCATAAATTGTTAAGTGTGTAACATGGTTGTCTTATAATCAGGAAACATCGCGACACTGACGACTGTTCAATGATCTAAAAGCTAGGTTTCTGCTGCACTTGTATATTTACTGCAACATATCTTTGGTAATGGTACTAATACCCCCGCCGCAGCAAACCTGCAGACTAAGCGAATTTCCATTTGACTGATTGGATTTACACTGAATTGTCTACCTACTTAAAAATATAACATTTATTCTCTATTTAAATAGAATTAGTTTAACTAGTACTAAGGTTTGCTGCATCAGGGAGGTTAAAACTTTTTTTTTGTAATATTTTAATAGTAAGAAATAAAAACATTTTCCAAAATTTGATCAAAATATGTTTGTAAACAAGCAAACTACAACAGTTTACTTATTCTCCATAAGAATAACATGGGAATTTTAAATTTACAATTTTTCGGAATTTTCTCCGTAACCATTAGGCGCATAATAACGCTTCAATATACTAAATTATTTGTTTTTTTAAGCTCTACAAAATGGTTTGGAAAGAAATTGCTAAATTTTATTTTTTTGGGTCAAAAATGGGAAAAACCTATTTTTACCCCATAAAACCCCCCGTAAACCCCTGTTCCCATGGTCCGATCATGCTGGATCGCGAACTCGTTCGAATAAACGTAGGTTTACATGTTTGTACCAAATTTCATCAAAATCGGATCATTTTTGCTCGAGTTATCGTGCTGACGGACACATATATATATATATGAATTTGAACGGATGGTGTTTTTGGCCTCTAGGGACCTCAAAACGAAAAAAAAAATTGGTCCCGGGTCCAGGTCTTACCATGAGTACTACGGTAATAGCTTATTCCCTATATGGGAAATTCGCTAAAAGGAAATTTAAAATTAAGTACCAAATGAATAAATTAACCTTGCTCTTGGTATTGGCTCCATTATTTTTGTTATGGAATGAAGTTGTAAACATATTAGTGCCCAGCTTTGTCTCACAGAAGTAGAGGAAACTTGCTTATGGGACGACCTTGCGCTTTAAGCTCAAGTACACTGTGCCCAAGCATTCCTATCGCACAGGGTCTTCCTCCACCGTGAGTATTGAAGTTACATGTGGGCGGTGTTGGACTTTGCTCAGAAATTGCTAGACACCGCTAAGGTGTAACATTGAATGTTTCCTCTGTACTTTCTCTAGTTAACGTAAATGAGATGTCTCCTTACAATGTCTAA